GACGAAATGTTGCTAGGTCAGGATTTAGATACAAAGATAGTATTAAAAGCACAGAAAAAATGTTTATTTGGGTGAAAGTGCCAACAAGAAGTAAAGTTGACTTGAGGAAAAAATGGGGAAAATTCATCCATTCTAGGCGGGTCAACCGGGCTCTAGGCAAGGGTTACACGGCAAGGAGAGCAGGCCCGGTTTGATTACTTTTGTCATTTAAAGGCGTACAAATAAAAAATATGACTCTGAAAGGGTTACCCCTTGCTGGGATTTAATCGAGGGTAAAAAGCAACCCGGGATTGTGTAAAGAGGTTCTTGATCCAAGCCCTAGGATTTCTAAAGGTCTTCCCCCACATTTATATTATATAAATTTTAGTTTTAAAAACATTATGATTATGTTTTTTAAAACTATTCTTTGCAAAGTTTATAGTGCTGAATGAACTTGAGCTTGAAGCTTGAAGTTGGACTTGGACTTGATTATGTTGCGTTTGGTTCTTTCGTGATCAAAACAGTGAAAAATTGGAAAGATTTCCATAGCACCCCAAACTGATCTTCGACAAAGCATGAGCCCCAAAGGTAAACTGTTATTTTATCCTTTGTTCTGTTTTTTTCCTTATTATCATTATTTGTTTTTATCAAAAACAAATAATGAGTAATGCATAATGAATATCCTCAATGAAGAATGGGTTAAAACGGAAATCTTGCGTAAAAATTCAAAGTGTGAAGCTCCAGGAACCTTCATCAGTTTTAATTAAACAATATATATCAGTGCAATTCAGAAATCTCTCTTTCCTTCATTTGTTAGCTTTTGTCAGTTAATTGATGGACCAACCTTCCGCTTACGAACATGAAGTAAAAGCGTCTTGTTTGATGTCGATATTTCCGACATATCACAAGAAACAGTGGTCACAAATACTTCCGTGATAATGCAGTAATAGAAGCTGATAGTACGACAGCCTAATAAAACTACAAATTTAAAAGTATATTTAAAAATCGCGCATGTACATTTTTCACTCCAAGGCTTATTTTTGGTGCGATAACAGGCCGCTGTCTGGGGGATGCGCCCACTCTCCACCTTTATAGAGTTCCTTCTCAATGATCGAAGCCGAGCAAATGGCAGAAACAGAACCTACCATTTTTACCGAGACATTGGTCCAAATTAACGCTGCTTTCCTGTGCTTTTAAATCATAGTTTCCTGTTTTCGACACAATCAAACTCTTGCACAAAAGCCCCAAGATGCAAGTCCTAAATAGGATGATCAAAGACAAAAAGGATTCATCCGTTCTTGTTACTAGCTCATTAATTTCTTACACAGCGAAACTTGTGAAAATTTATCTTTGCCTCAGAAATCTGAGCCCTTTCCTTTATTTCTCTAGTTTGTTTTCGTTCTTTTTATTGTCGTAGAACACGGTTTTGGAAGGAAGTTTGACAATCAAATTAAAACTTTCGAAAATCTTTATTTGGGATTTTTTCATTTAATAGGCCTTAGTAGAAAAAAAGCCTTAACATTCTGTGAGTTGTTCGGTAACCCTTCCACTGAGACACACTTGAGGCCTGAAGTTTACGACGGAATCGCTCAAGGTATGACGTTAAAAGTGCAACTTAGATAAACTATATCATGACGCTGTCAACATAAAAGCATAGTCAGTAAAGAAATTCAGACCTAAAATCATGATAAGATTTCATAACCATACCTTCTAAGAAACGTTTTCTCCATTTCCTACATTTTAACTAGTTTTTAGGTGGAGCTAATAACCAGACGATAGATTTCAACATTTTCAAATGTTTTTTCAACGCATGCATCGGAGAGATTTTTTTCCCCGAAAAGAAGTTCCCTACACATCAATGGCTAACTTTTAAACGACAAGATTTTCTCCCTTGTAACGGCTGTAACTGACGGGTCTTCGTTTCGTGCTGTGAGGGTGAAAATCGTTCACATAATATAAAATACTGTAAAAAAACGTTCGTTTGGCACCAAATAACTAACTAACAAAGGTCTCCGAAACTCAGGTTTTAATTACAAAACTTTCTTACTCGCTACCAAAATCTGAAAACGTCCTCGAGACGTTATTTACGAGGTAAATTTTAGCCCACGTGAAGCCGTAACTTCCCCCCCTAGGGTGAAACTTAGCTCATCAAGCGCTCAACCTTTTCAATGCATGAAGTTTAGTTCATCATACCAAGGTAAATTTACTAATCAAGAGCCAAAATATACAAAAAGCTAAGAAAAATTTGAGTGGATGTTTGAGAGCCTGGTGAAATGGCCGATCCATTCGAGAACTCTGGAGAGCCTAAACAGAATTATTTCAAGGCGTTTTCTCATCAAGTAAATGTAGCTTCGTTGATCATTATAAAATTCATCAAAATAGTGAACGGATTCAGTTTTTTTATAGTCTAGTCGATGATGTTTTGGCCATGAAAAGCGTTGTATGAAGAGAGTAAGGTTTAGAATCTCGGGAAGTGATGCGCACTGCGCATAAAACGCTTTGAAGTACCTCTCAAGCAACGATACACGAAACTTGTTTGTTTGTTTGTTTGTCTTGTTTTGGTTTTGCAATATGGTTCAAGAGTTAACTTACATCTGCAAAAATTTCCCTTAAAAAACTGTATACTACTCAATGCTGTATGGCCAAAGTTCCCCGCACAGTTTTGTAAAGAACCAGGAGTCTACAGAAATCCTTCAATAACGATCATCATCATTATTATTATCATAACTGAAATTTGAATCCCTACGCTGGGTCAGTGGTCGACTTTCATTTCAATTGAGTGTCATCTCAACTAATCAGATGCTAAGCTAAAACCAATAGCGACTTGTTAAGATCTAACTTTTTTTGCACTTTCCGTCTGATGTTTCTTTTTTATCTGATTGGCTAATGTGAATTTTCTCGGCTTTGGTGTTTCGAGATTTAAGCTCTTGTTCATCATTTTCCTCTTAATACATTTCTGGTGTCTCTCAGTTGCGGATGCTATGTTCTCACTGTGGGTCATAGCTATTCTTGCGCCATCCTCGGCACAATCGCCTTTGACATCATCGCCGTCTACACTGACGCCATCGCCATCAACTTGGCCATCTTCAGCATTGTCAGATTCATCATCAACCTCTCCATCGCCACCTCAAGAACAGCAAAGTATCCAGCCACGACCGATTATCCTTCCACCAGGACCATTATCGGCACAAGTAACATCACTGCTATCTTCCCTGACACTGTCGCCATCGTATTCAAGATCGTCCCCAGCTTTACTGTCAGCTTCATTCTTATCTACACCATCGGCTCCTCAAGAACCGCAAATTGTCCATCCACGACCGATTTTCTTCCCACCACTTCCACTTCCCGTAGCGTTACTGCCACAACATTCTTCTCCGACTCTGACCTTATCCCATGCACCACCGTCCTCAGCGTTACTGTCCACTTCATCTTCATCTATACCAGCGTCACCTCAAGAACCGCAAATTTCCCCGCCAAGATCGATTTTCCTATCACCGACACTGCAATCTACCCTGACACCGTCGCCATCGCATTCGGCATCATTATCAGCATCATTATCAGCATCATTATCACCCTGGTCATCAACCCTATCATCAACGTCACCATCGCCATCACTTTTACCATTGTTATCAGTATACCGCTTACTACCAACCTCATCAACACCTTCGCCATCACTTTTACCATTGTCGTCAGCATGCCGCCTACTACCAACCTCATCAATACCTTCGCCATCACTTTTAACATTGTCGTCAGCATCCCGCTTACTATCAACCTCATCAACACCTTCGCCATCGCAACCACCTCCACCTTTGCCGCCAAAGATACCTATACGAAATCCACCTTGGGTGCCGCCACCGCCACAACTTATACAACCGTTATCACCTTCTCCATCGTCGTTACGGCAATCACCGCTGATACTACTTCCATCACGGGGGTCAGTAGGACAGTCCGTTTCCGTGCCACCATCTTCATTCCAATCGTCCATGGTGATGCCACTTCCGCCAATAACACAACAGTCTATGACAACGATGTCATCAATATCAACATCAGAGTCTTCCACATGGTCAGCTACAACATCACCACCACAGAAAAAGACAGGTAAGGGACCGGTCATTGGGGGGGAGGGGGGTTGTGTCATCATAAGACTCCCCTGATTCCCCCCCACCCCCCCTCTTTAAGGCTCTGTAATGTTCTGATAAATTTTCCCTCTCCCCCCTTATTCGTTATTAATTGGAAGTCAATATTTTACAGACACTAGTAAGATATTCCGACCACAGATGTTTTATAATTTTTACATAATGAGGGAGGGCAAAGTGAGAGTAGTAAAATCCCCACGGCTCCTATTTCGCCAACGACTTTGGACGCTGATCTCAGAAAACTTAGAAAGTCTGCGAGATGCGCATCTTAGAAAGCTAAGCGGTGATTTGTTTGGCTGAAACATTCCAAACTTAGATAACGAGAAATTAAAAGCCGGTCGCTCTTACAGGTTAGAGAGTTTACAGAGCTCACCTACAAAATAACCCACGCGTGATGCAGGTACAATGCAGGAAAACGTTTGTAAATTTTGTTGGGGCTTTTTTGATTTACTACCTTATCGATCATATCCTAAACATCCCAAGCGATTTAATACCTATTTCATTAAAATTAATTGCAAAATTTTTCACTTTTCTACGAAATTATCAAGATCATAAGGGTAGGTTGATTAATTATAGCGCGCGTAAGATCTGCAGTATCTCAGGATTTATCTCATTCGATTTTAACACCTCGGTGTTAACAGTTAAATGAAAGAAATGATACTTATTTCTTGCATTATTTAACAATAACTAAGGTCGCTGAACGAGATTCGACACGCAGATAGCTCCGAAATGGTCCAACAACCGTGCACGTTTTTAAAAGAAACAGAGCGAGTATAAGAAAGGAGACGAAAACCGGGAAGAGCCACCAGACCGAATTTTTTTTCATTCTTGTTCCCAGGTCCTTGTCAACTATTCAAGAAGAAACAGAGAAAACTTTGCTCTGAAATGCAGAAATTGGAGCAAAAGTATGGCGTTGGAAAGTTTTGCAATCGTTATAAAGCGTCATGCAACTACAACATCACTGATGGTCCTTCAGACCGCAAAATGTTACTTTGGAAAAACTGCTATTGTGATTCTCTCTGTGAGGAAATGGGTGATTGCTGTATCGATTATGACAAATGGTATGAGTTAGTTGAAATTTTTTTGGTCACATTAGTTACAGAAAAAACCTTAGACCAGTTTGTTTTTGGTTCAAGTACAAGTATCTTCTCATTCTTTTCAGGTAACAACATTAACCCTGTAATTAAAGAAAGGTGTTATTCGTCTTGTCACAAGCGTGGGACAAAGAAAAAAAATCTGAGTTCCTATGAGGAATCAAACTTCTTATTCTATTTACAAACATTACGCTATCGACATTGCTGATCCTAGCAGTATGCAGGACGTGTGTCATATGAACTTCGTAATAGACCGCGCTCGCATTAAAGTCTCTGTGGCTCAGTGGTAGAGCATCGGAACGCGGAATTCGAAGGTTTGAGGTTCGATTCTTCATGGGGACTCAGAAATTTTTCTTTGTCCCGCGCTTGTGACAAGATGAAAAACATCTTTCTCTATATCTTTACCGAGCTCAAAATTTACCATCTCTATTATTCTATTCACAAACATTAACCCTCTTCACCCTAACATCAGTATTCATGTTTTTTCCACACTGTCCTCGTTTCTTGTGGTTGCCTTGGGTCGTTAGGCGGTTCGCGTAGTGAACCCCCAAAGCCCCTCCGTTTCTTCACTTACTCGCTAGTATTGCGCCGTTTACCATTGTGCTTCGTTTTCTAACTAGCTGAAAGCCTGCAGAGAACAAGTTGTCGGATGTGTAATTGTCTGACAGATTAATTGATTGCTTATCGTATGACTCAGAACAGTGGTGGAACTTTTTAATTATTTCAAACACTGATTAGCATACTGTTTGTGCTTATCATTTAAGGCGCACAAGTGCTCCAAAAGCACCAAAGAACGAAACTCAGCAGACGCAACTTTCTTGCATAAGTGCTCCAGGGTCAAAGAAGAGATCCTGCTACGGCTACATTATGATTGACAGCTGCCCAACTTCATGGTGGAATCCACCAATCAAGCGTGCTTGTAAGAGAAGCAATTATACCGCTGACCCTCTCGTGGCTTTACCGGTTTTTGATGCAACAACAAACGTTAGTTATGCCAATATATACTGTGCCATGTGTAACGGAAAGTCACGCAATCTTCACTTCTGGAGTGTCAAGATTGTACACGCGCCGCGCAGAATTTCTACTTTGCAGGATATTAAATCTACCAAAACCGTTTGGCATACAATACCGATTGATGCTAAAAAGACTGAAAAATGTATTGCAACACCTCTTGTGGCCAATAGAAAATCTCGTCGTAAGATCGATCGTTTATGTCGTTCATACGCAAATGTTATTGAATGGCTTGATGGAAATCAGCCGATGCGTTTGTTAAAAAATCCTCACTGTGCTTTATTAGAAGATGCAACAGCTCTAGTTAACAAAACCGTCAATTGTCCAACCAATGTTAATGTTCCCAACGACGGAATCAGAGATTATTCAACGATTTTCGTGTTCTCTATTTATGCAGAACATTTCATTGACAGCTTCGTAAAGACCGTGCCTGTGAAATTTAGTTGTCCTGCTCACACGTTTTACAATCCGTTCCAAGAAAAATGTTTGTTGGTACCCAGTAAACATTCCTCTGTTGAGAACAAGGACACTAAGAACGTCTCTCACACCAACGATGAATCTCGGAGTACAACGCCCACTACGCATGTACACGATCCACGCATTGACAAGGACAAGGACACTAAGAACGTCTCTCACACCAACGATGAATCTCGGAGTACAACGCCCACTACGCATGTACACGATCCACGCGTTGAAAGCGGAAAATCATCGGATTATTCGTTAACTCTTCGCATCACCACCTGTGTCGGATTCTCCCTGTCAATCACTGCCCTGCTCTTCCTGCTGATGACGTATTTCCTATTCGCTGAGCTGCGCACATTTCCTGGTAAAATGGCGATGCAGTTGTCATGCGCGATGATAGCCCTGCAGTCAGTATACTTTGCTTCAGACCCGGATGTTGTTTCCTGGGCAGTTTGTGCCGTGATGGGAGCTCTGTTACATTATTTCAACCTGGTTGTATTTCTATGGACGGGCTGCATCGCCCACGATACTCACAAAACTTTCACAAACCCAAGTAAGTGTATTGCGCTATAGTTGTGCTTCTGCTATCAAAAAAATACACTTTGGCCTGATGCTGGTCTCGTACCCAGACCTTTCACGGCTAAGCGGTTTCAGTTACAGCTACACGGTAGGATCTGGGTACGGGATTAGTCCAACGCCTTTCTCCACCAATGTAAGTGGGTAAGTGGGTACTTGCCAAATACCAAGGAAACTGGGCCGTGGAGTGGCGGGGGGAAGGGGGGAGGGGATACACACTTGTCCAGCGCGTGCATTTCCCAAAAGTAGGTAATCTTATACTCGTTTCCACGTCCTTTTTGGTTATGCTGCGCTTGTGTGATTGGCCTTAAAATGTTATATCCCTCTTCCTCCTCCGAATCGATCAGATGAGAAACTAAATCCAATTAAAATGGCGCGTTTCCTCACGCGGAAGATGGTTTGCTCACTTTTACTTGGATTTCCATCGACTTCATTTGATGTTTCCGTTTTTTTCTGATTGGTCTGATTGTAAGTCTTTAGTTTTGCAAAAATCACCGGAAAGGAATTTGACCCTTTATACCCTAACATCAGTATTTATATTCTCCATACTGTTCTCTGTACATCTACTAAGCTGCTGACAAGGAGAATTTGTCTAACAATCGAGAGTTTCTTTTAGTTGGTGATCATTTCCTTTATTCTCATGACATTAATCTATGATTCAGGGGTGATATTGTAAGGAGAAAACAGATGCTAGTCACTCTTAGAGGTTAAAGGGTTAATCAACGAATTCTTCTCGTAAACATTTCCTTTCTTTCTTTTAAAGCTCAACTTCGAAATAGTCCGGAGTATTTTTATTAACTTTGAAAACTTAGCCATGGCGTAATAGTGAAGAACAGTGTAATTTCCTTTTCTTCAGACATTGATTTCCAAGAGCCGTCGGTCATCGCCAAAAGGAAGAGGTCCTACAATCGTTGCAGCTTGTTTTCCTGGGGTTCCCCTGTCGTCCTTGTCATGTTTTTCATGACTTTGCAATTGTCCAATACCGCAAATATTTACGGTGAGTTTACGATGGTTATTTTCCATACCCCTTAGCGTTGTCCTTTTTCAATGATTCCTTTTATTTTTACGTGTAAAATTACTTATCTTGCAGGAAACGAGCATAACTGTGGACTGTCGTTCCCAGCTCGCTATTATGCCGAAGTGACGCCTGTTTTATCATCGCTTCTGTTTGTTACCATAGCTTTGACTCGCACGGTTGTTGTCAAGAACCAGCAGGTACAGATATCTATTTCCCCACCCCTCCCTCTCCTTCCTTTTGACCGTCGCCCACCCCCTTGGTACAAATTTCTGTCTCTCCTTATGGCCTTAGCCTTTCACTGCTGTAAAAAAACAAAGATGGCAGCTTTGATTTTCACCAAGAAAATACTGAGCACCCGCTCGCCAAAATTACGACTGCTCTGCAGGCTAGCCAAGATAATTTTGCTGCTATATTCCGCATACATATGATATGTAAATTTCCGTAAGAGGCTATGACATTTTTTACTCTGTATCACAGGGCAATTCGACCACATTCCAAAACCACGCTACCCTCCCTCAAACGGTGCTAATTTTGACAGTTGCCATAGGGATAACCTGGATCCTGGGACTTGTGGTGGCTTTTCATCCTACTCCAAATTTGGAATACCCATACGTCATAGTCTACAGTTGTCAAGGTGCGTATCGTTTGAATGGTCTCTGGCCCCTGTCGCTGTGACTGGATCTCTTACGAATTTAACGGTACCAGAAACAAAGGCTTCGGCGCGACACGCACGATTTGCGTGCACTTGCACTTAGACACTCTGTATTTCCTCGAGTAAGCGCCCACGCTCTAATAAGCGCCCTCCTCCCAAAATAAGCGCCCTCCCTAATCTCGTACCCAGATCTTAGCGACTTTAACTGTAACTGAAATAACCGCTTGGCCGTAGAAGGTCTGGTTACGAAACTACGCTCACCCCCTGGACCATAATTTCAAACAAGTGCTCCCCCCCTCGATTAACAGCCCCCCCCCCATTCTTCCTTCTTCACTTTCTTAAATAATAGGACTACAAAGATAACTGGTTTCTGTTGCCACTTGATTTATAACTTTTTAAGCCTCGACTAAAGTGGAATCAATACAGGAGAATAGTTCTTTTCAGCTCCAGTTATTTCTATCTCCATGTGCTCGAAGATTTCCGAGTTATGGGTGTTATCTTTCCTTCTGATTTTTTTTCCTTGTACTGCGCCAACTTAATAATTAAGTGCCCTCCTTCATCTTTGGCTTCAGCTTCTAAAGCCTCAAGTATTGTGTCTACTTGTCTGTAATAAGCAGGTAGTGACAATTACCTCCTGTCTCAGAGAATGATAGACTGTGTCCTCCCCTCTTTTAGCCGAAATTTTAAATATGCGTACGGGTGCTTATTCAAGGAAATTTGGTATTCAAATTTGTAGGCTTGCTGGCAAGTGGTTCGTGGGATTATCACGTGTGCGAGTTAGTTTTACCGCGTTCCCATTTTGGTAGTATTTTCTGGCCCATTATTTTTGTATCATTTTCATTTCTGGAATCTCCTCATTATGAGTATTTTTGTGGTAAATATGCAACTGCATCTATCTCCACAATGATATGCTAATGTAACAATTACGTCACAGTAAAGAAGCCCATAATCTGATCACGAAAACCTATCACCAGTCTCCCAATAAAACCTCTCAGATTCATTTCTTCAATTTATTTCACAGGTGTCCTCATCTGCATTTTATTCGTGTTTAAGAAACAAGTGATTACCCTGTACAAACAGAGGTTTATAAACAAAACAAATCCTGGGCCGGAGCCGAACGGAGATGATCAAAACAGGATTACTGATCAGGAACCCACAGGAAACGGGGACGGTTATTAAAGTGCAGCCATCCTCTAGACAGTAAGAGACTTGTCAAAACAAAAAAAATAAAGGAGTTGGAATAAAACCGTATCATTACCTGCACTGGACTAGAATGATGAGTTGGTACCAAACTCCTTATTACACGCTCCCTCATTGTAACAAAAATTCCGAAAAGTGGTAGAGTCCAAAGACGTAATTAGAGATAAAATAAATTTATGAAATCCAAAAGAAATTTAGCTTGAAATGAAGACTTCGAAAGATCTTGATTCCAAAACAAAACAAGTGACAAATTTTCGACAAAAAAGCCCAAAAACAAAACTGAACTGTGAGAAACGAGGGAACACGAAAGTACCCTCGTCAACTTCTCTTGCCAAATTCAAATCTGTGGACGAGATTGGCTAACTTATCGAATCATGCGTGCCGCGTAATGCTAAAGAATGAACTATACTAAAGCATGAGGACAATTTCAACACTTGTGTTACCATTAAGAAAGATTACCGACATGTTCTAAGAGACACCAATTTCTTTCATTCGAAAATCAACAATACACTGAAGACTATTACTGTCGTTCGACTGCCATAGCAAACTTTAGTAATTGCAAAAAATTCTAAGTATCTACACAAGGATAGAAACCGAAATTGTTCTAGTTTAAATCCCGGCTCATTGTTGGCGTGAGAAAGATAACACCGCATCCCAAACGAGCACCTGCGTTACCAGTTATCAGGCTCTCGCGTCTGGCTGGACCAACCCCTCGTCCGAGGTCGTCAGGTCTCTGATGAATCTGTGAACAAGGGGAATTAAAATAGTTAAAGATGCAAACCGTTTAGGGCGTAGCATATAAAAATTGTCCTGATCTTCAACCAACACTGGACAGTGTACTGTGGTCGCCTGAGGCTTGGGACGGGAAATAAAGGTTTCTCCGCTCAAACGTTAGTTGCCCGTTTTTGCGGCTCCGCCCTCTTCATGAAAAAAAACGTCCGCCATCCTCTCAACCGATAAATTGAAGAGCTAGAGCCAATCGCGAACTGCTCGTCTGCGTTTTCCTACGCTTCAAGCATTTAATTCGACTGTTTTTTTACGAAGATCTCATTGGCTCCATGTGATGATTACCCCTGTTCTGATTGGTCATTCCGTCTATTATCGTTTTGGTTCTACGATTCTCGATCGAGAAGTAGTCAACTTACCACAAACGCTCGTCCTAATACTGATAAGGGTCCGACAACAGAAATAAGATGATCGGAAAACTTTGCTTTGATAGTTCCACTTGCATCCGCAACAAGGTTACCCAAATCTCCAACATGGCTGCAGATGAGAAACAAAATACCTTACTTTCCAATATACAGTCCTTGTATATCGTCAGGCAAAGCTTATAGAGGCAGTATGAATATTACAGAGCTTGAATGTGGGATCAAGTCAATTTTGTCGCAACACGATCAAAATCCTCCGACCTCCCTCTCCCCACTCCCCGAGCGATAAACACTGGCTCCCCCCCCCCCCGTCATCCCCCGGGCGATAAACACTGGCGGTTCGCTTACCGAAATTGGTCTTGAGGTGCTCCATGGCAAAGATTAAACGGGTTGTAATGGCCTCCCGTGCTCTGACATCCTAAGAAAAATTGTCGTATTTATTATATGATTAAATCTTTGATCAAGATAACAACATACATGTCACTTTCAACCATAGTTAACATGTCGGGTCAGACAAGTGTCTCACGACACATGCCGATACATGCCGATGATTGCCGACGACGATTGCCATTGATTTTTCGAAGTCTTTGAGCTTCATTCGTCAGTCTGTTCGTATATTTCCCCTCATTGTTCCTTACTTGTTCTCACTTGATCGCTTGTCAAAATCGAAACGAAAACTGTGTTTATGTTGACCCAAAAAAAACACCTTGAGAGGAACTAAAATTTGAAAACATTTTGGAGATAGTTTTGTAAATTTTTTATTTGATGTCAACTTTATCTTCAAAAGTACTTTGATGTGTTGTTTGTGTTACGATAGGAACTGATTATCTGTAATTCGAGGCGTGACTTGATTTAAGTGGGGCGCACACCTACGGTGGCTAATTGACCGGATCTTATGTGTAACCCCGTGCATGATTTTAGCCGTATGAAATAAACTGGTTGTTTTGAAACTGAAAGTTGTCTTCCCATCGTTATCACAACGTACCTTCCGTTAAAGTATCTCCGTACTCGTGAACATGAAAGCCATGTGTGGTGTTAGGGCCAAGACCTGATATATTTATTTCTATGCATGTTAAGCCTCCGTACCGCTGCAGAAAGAAAAAAAGCAATACAAAAATCTTCAACTGGGTCCAAAAAGTAATCCGTGATCTCTGCTCTGTGATTGGTCTATGAAACACGTATTACCCTAAAAGACGGTTGTCAAGACGGCGTGATAAGATACTCGTCACCAGTTCACCTTACCGGTTGTGTCAGTTTGACTGTTCCTCTCACTGGAGTCTTGGTGCCGGGAGGTGGTTGGGAATTAGGAGCGATAAAACTCATAGCTTTTACTATATCTGCACCTAAACGAGAAGGGATGAAAACCTTAGAAATTGTGATACCATTGAAATTGTTTTCCTCGATGAAGCGTTGTAAGGAGGATTTGTCACTTTCCTTTTACTGATTGACTGACTGACAGCCAGACAGGAAGACTGACGACTGACAGGGTATTTTAGTATTATCAACTGGGTTGATAACGTAAACTGGCCACTGTAAAGAGTTTTAAAGCTGACGTTTCGAGCGTTAGCCCTTCATCAGAGCGAAGCGCTCGAAACGTCAGCCTTAGAACTCTTTACGGTAGCTAATTTACATTATCAACTCAGTTGATAATACTAATTAAATTACCCTGTTGTACTTTCCCACCGACGCAGCACCACAGTTTCTTTAGAAACTTAGCTCATTTATTCATTTGTCGAAAAGACGGACTGACTGACAGACTGAATGACCTGACTCGACCATAAACCGATTGAAAAGGTTGACTGACTCACTAACGGATAGTCAGATTGACTCACCAACTGGCTAACTGACTGAGTCACTGACCGACCTTAAGACTGACGGACGGCACATTGACCAACTCTCTGACTGGTTCACTTAAGAACTATCGCAATAGCTTACGGATCGACCTACTAACATAATTATTCAGTTTACTTACCAGGATAACATCCGTAAACGTGGTCAGCAGCTACCGTTGCCACAACGCTCAGTGCCCAAGTAAAAATCAGAACCATTTTTCCTACGGATTTTAGAAGTTCCTTAATGTCACTTACGTCACTTTACCAAGATGCATGGGAAAGTGCAGGAAGGCGAGTGCATTCCGTGATTTTTGCATATGAGTGATATTTTTAAAGATGTCTTCAAAACGTCTCGAATTACAAAATTTAAGAGCATTTCAAGTAATTTTCTTTTCTTTAACATAAAATCTTTCCCTAAACCTGCTTTGTAAATACTAAATCAGTAGATAGCGTCGAAGGCGCGCTCTGATTGTCTACTCAAACACCGAACATCCATTGCCATTCACCTAAAAATAAATATTGTAATTGTTGCAGAGATGAACGAGTTAAAATCATCGTTTTGAGCTATGTTATCTCATTGTTTTAGTATATACCAAAACAACTATTTACCTCAATGTCGGTGGCTAGTTGAGGATAATTCGTTAAATAGTTGTTAAATATGGTAACGAAATAAAAGTGGCTGTTTGTGTCTTACTCGAGGAAGTATCCATGTTCACTGTATGTATGTTATAATGAGTAAATGGTGAGCCACTGCTTAGAGTAAGTTTGAGAGATTTCCACCATACTTATGTTGGGGAATCATACTAGAATGACGAATCATAGAACTCGAATGAAAAGAAATTATGAATTTTCGTGCCTTAAATTAGGAATAATGAAATACGAGTTACTGTTTAAATACGTCATGAGTGTCGAAAAAAACATGTCAATAAATCATAAATCCTCGGCCACAAAAAAGCAAGGATCACGAATCAGGTCAAATAATTCCTACTATGGCCCACGTGTGTAATACAAAAGTAATTATCCCAGTACAAAGTTATATATTTAAGTCGAAAATTACTTACTCCAGTATAAAAATATTTATCCTAGTATAGAAATATTTGTCTCAGTACAACAGTAGATTCGATTCCGCCTCCATTAATCCCGATAGAATTGTTCGCGGGATGAATTAAATATGTAACGTGAAGCATAACCTTTCCGGAGTTTTTTCTAAACTGTTTATCTTAAACTCAAACATGCAAGCTAGTTGATGTTCTTATCAACAGTTGTGTGAGCTCCTCTGCATACATTCTAAAAATCGTTGTTCAACAATTCCGGAGCCTTTTTTCTTCTTCTTTTAATAAACGTCGGAAAGATTCAAATTCCGATTCTTTCAGAGAAAATCTGGCCAGAAAAGAGATTTTGGCGTTGCTTGACGTTAAACGGCACAATCCACCTCAGACATGTATCGAAAAAATTTACCTACACTTGCAAACACATTTTTTTGTAGCCGTCTAACTCTAAGAAAAGGAATCAGGTCTTACCTGCGAGGTGAACTTCAGAGCTTAACTGGAAAACGTTCGTGTCAATTCAACTGCCTGTGTGGCCTGTTCTCTAGTTGTTCGTGTGACTTCTCGTGTGTCCGGCTAAATGGCAATAAATAGCAGGTATTTGAAGGTGGCTAGTTTCCGCGTAGGGAACTTGTTCTGCTCTCTAACCTGTTAACCCCTCACCTCCCAAGAGCCAGTGATATAGACAGACTTTCTCCTTACAATATCAATACAATATCAAGCAGACAAGTGAAGAGAATATAGCTTATGAGTAGATCCATCACCAAATTCTCCGAACTAACATCACAAGAGTTGTATGACAGACTGTAAGGAGAATTTTCTATGAGATCTTGGGGTGCAAGGGTTACTCAACTCATCTATCAATCACAATAGTGGACAATTTCCTGGTTGGTGGTTTCTATAGATATTGACATTTGTCATTTTCCACAAAACTAAAAATATTCCGCGCCTTTCTTATGTTCTTTCAAGGGTAATTAATTCAATTTATTAATATCACCCTTTGAAGGCTCAAAATCGCCAAAATTACATCTGCTGTCAAGAACGATGACGGGGACATTTGAGGAAGTAGAACTCAGGTCTTGAATAAAACCTATATCGCGAGACACAACGTAACAAAGCCTTCCCACAACAAGTTTTGTCAGCGATATTCGACATACGATAGGAGATGAACTTTATTCGATTGTCTCATCATGGAGTCACTTTGGATGTTAATCGTGAGACAAAGAAATAAAATTCATCTCCTGTCTTACTCAACGATGAACAATAACCACATACGTTATTAGATATTCGACTTAGTTTGCAATATTTATAATTGTTTCCAACACACAAGCTAACAAGAGTGAACGAGAACTCGCTCGTGCTATCTTTGAAAGCTTGAAAAGCTCATTGTGACAGTCTTTCAAGATGCCTTGAGAATGTAAAAGACCTCCTCTCCTCAGTTCGTACTTTGGAGACCAAACGTTGACAACACAGGGTCACCAACACCTATCGGAACAAGTTTACGTCATTGCGGGGTTCCCCAAGGACCTAACCTGAAATAGACACATGATTTCAACATAAAAACGCAAATGAAGTCACTTTTCATTCCCCTTCAGAAGTGGCTCTTTAGAGGCTCCTTCAACAAAGGATTCATCAAATTTGTAATGCTTACTCAATCAAACAAAAGATTCCCTTGATGACATCTCTCCAGTCTGAGAGTCAATAAGCTAAATCTAAAAATATACCAGCACTTTTCGTCTGTTTTCACTGTCTGCAGAGGCGACACGATTAGTCGTTAGGCTCACCAGACGTAACCACTCAAGTGTTCCTCTTGATCAAATACAAGAAGAGTCTCGTTCCTAAATCGTCAAAGGCTACTACAGGAGACGATGAAAAAGATTTTTTTTGATTTTTAGCTTGAACCCCTCCATAAAAAAAGAAATGAAATAAATGCGTAAATAAATAAATGACGATTTGAATCTCCTTCGGATTCGTTCCGATTTCGCCGCCAGCAGCTCTTCCTCCTCAGCTAGGGATAGCTTATTGGCTTGCTCCGTCATAATCTAAATTTGTATATAACACGTTTCCGACTAACTGCATAATCCAGCAATATCATTGCTGAAAGTTTTCTGCCCTTGATGTTAGGATAATAAGATTTGAACACGCTAGTCGAATAAATAAACACCATTGACTGTTTGTCCCAAGCCTTTGGGATAAGAAAATGATTTTACGAATTCAAGAAAAGCTATTTTGAGTTAGTGAAGAGAGTCTCAGTCTCGAAGGGGTAGCTGTGACGACGGTTACAATTAGATTTTTTCAGGTTAAATTCAAATGCCTATGACGGTAGACGTTTATTAGAAGAATATTTCTCATACAGGTCATGTTGGAGCTAATTTTGTTTGTTTAAAATGTAAATCTGTCTAGAAGTTCAAAGCGACCTTGCCATAATCTTGCAAATCGCTAAAATTTCGCCTGTCATCTAAGGAATCGAAGTCCTGCCTCGGAGGATTCCAAATTTTGGCAAAACAGGCATTTTGATTAAGCCATTTCAAAATTAAAATTTATGCATTGCGGAGGTCATGTCTGAAACAAGTACGTCTTGAATTACGTTTCCTTGAAGCCGATTCTACCCGCTGAAACGCCTGCTGGTAGTGTACCAAGAATACTGAAATTGCTGTGTTGCTTTTCTGTTAAAACTGAAAGACAATATTTTACCCAAAAACGTACCCGAAAGCCGATACGATTCGTGGCATGATCAGAAACAAATTATCGATGTAGTGAGCTATTTTGATTATCAAAATATTTACAAGATAAAGTTTTTTTTCAAATTGTCGAAAATTAGTGAAAATTTCCGTAGAATGAATAAATTTGGAAACTTGGAGATTGCTTTCCAGGTGTAGAGAATCTTCCAGATCTCGAACTGTTCGATGCAAGCTGCTACAATAATGAGATTTGAAAAAAACTTTAAACAATTTGACTTTCCTGAATAAAATAAAGGAAATATATGTTATTTTCCGGCTGGGAGGTCCGTATGGTGAAAAACTGTGACCTCGGTCTTGAAACACAGTTTTTCACCATACGGACCTCCCAGCCGGCAAATAACATATTTAATTTTTTTGAAACTTGACGGAATTCTTTCCGAAAGAACCTGAACGATTTAGAGCTGTAAATACGGCAAGATCCTCCATAAACTGAACAGTTTTTGGGCGAGTAAATGGTAGTTAAAATAGAGATGATGCAAATTCAAGAGAGACGCCTCAGCGAAACATTTTCATTTCCGTCACGATAATTTAAAAGGCTTCCAAACAAACCTTGAAACATTACTTTTACAAGTATCTGTCAGAATCTGACCTGTCAATTAGAGAGTGCGCAAGTAAAAAAAAGCGTAAGAATATTTGAAAAACAACGGAACTAGTTTGGCAAGGACTGCCACGACAATGTTTTCTTCAAAAACAGTCAATGATATAACGGAAAGTATTATTCACTCTCATCGACGATTGATTCATGTACGAAGATTTACCTCTGTTCATTAAGTAGACGGCGAAGAAAGTAATTGTGAGTAAATTCAATTTTTTTATTTTGAAGTTGTGAGAGTTTGCTGCAATAGCGCGTGTGTAAATATGGTCTTTCCTTCACAAAAACTAAATTCGAATGGCACACTCCAACGAGACACGAGGGGATTTAATGCGGCCTTTTCTCAAAAAATTCCTTCAGTTTCTGTTGTGCAATTTACAGTAAAAATATTCAGATTGAACGGACTTGGAAAGACTCACCGAGAGCGTATATTTGCTGTAGAACTTAAATTATAACTTCGCTCGCTTTTTCACTGCGAACAAATTGCTTGAGAAAATTCAGGTATTAAATAAATGAAAGTTCCATCTTTCAGTGTAACTGTAACCAAATACCTCACGTTTTAACTTTCTAGGTACTTTTTGTGAACGATTAAAATTAATTGCAGACGGGTTTTAGGCCGCTTGTCAACCAACGTAATGACACTATTGTTTATACAAATTCATTCTGAAACCAATATTTTTCTGTCAACCAAAGTGATTTGAGAGAGAGAAAAGAGAGGATTCATAAGTTATTCATCGGCTTGAAGTAGTGACCGACGTGTTTGCTTAAAAATACTGCTCAGCCGGAAAAACGAGATATATTTATGAAAAATGGCAACGAAAGTTGGGATGCACTTGGCGACTCATGAAAGCTTTAACGTGGCCCGGCCCGTGGGCAGAGATAGGAAAATACTGACCAGGTAAGGAACCAATCAGGTTGCAAGATTCGTTACCGTGCCCTCTCAAAAAAAAAATAAAAACTGATATTTCATTTCTCTAAATTAGGATATATTCACAGCCCCTTTTCCTGTCTTTTCCTGTCTATAATAATAATAATGATAATAATAGTAATAAAGTTTTTTGGGCGCATTTAGAAAACTCAATGCGCCCACATAACTATACAGAAAAAATAAATTAGTTAAAACCTACAAAATGTTTCTTATAGCAGTAATAAATAAAATAAATGAAATAATTAATTAGGAATCAGGTGACATGAAAGCTAGGTATAGTTCCTCATAGAATAAGTTTAAAATAACATTTCTGAAACAAGAATGTTTTGAGGGCAGATTTAAAAGATGAAAGAGATGTTGTATCCTTAACAGAATCCGCTAGACTGTTCCATGATAATATAAGTACAGAGAAAGAAAAGGCATGTTCACCGTATGTCACAGAGTTCACAGTAGGGACAGTAAAAAGTAGTTCAGAGGATAAGCGCAGGCTTCGCTACGGGTGGTATTGTTGTAGGAAGGAACACGTAAGCCACATTCACGCTTAGGGTTAATTGTGGCTGCTGACGAATGTACCAAGGAGGGACGACGAAGTAGGTTGGACAAAGTCCATGAATAATCTTGAAAGTGATGAGCAGAACTTTGAATATAATCCGTGACTAAACAGGTAGCCAGTGTAGTTCTCAAAGGGTAGGTTTGATGTGCTTGTATCGTTTAGTTCCAGTGAGCAGTGGTTTTGAATTCTTTGCGGTCTATCCAGTTCCTGTTTTGCGAGATCATAAAGGATACTGTTACGGTAGTCTAGACGTGATATTACTAATGCATTAACTAACAGTTTGAGTTTTTCCTTGCTGATTTATTTGCGAATGCGATAGACCTATGGACCTGATGGTGTTAGCCGCTTTCCTACATTATGTGGTGTGTCAATGATAAGCTTTTATCTAGATTAACACCATGATCACAAACTCTCTCAGTTCGTTCAATGACGGTATTGGCAAAAAAAAGCTTCTCGATATTAGGTGTCTTAGTGAACCTGGATGTAAGTAGTATAACCTCCGTCAGCATTACTTTTCAGTATTTTTTGCGTGTTCCATCGTATTACATCCTCTATACAACTTCGCAGGGTAGTCAGAGATAGAGCCTGATTTGCAGGATCAATAGCTATATATAGTTGAGTGTCATCTGCATAAAACAATTCAAGTTATGGCGAGCAATTACATCTTGAAGAGGGCGATATACAGGGTGAAAAGCAATGGTACACGTATAGACCCTTGTGGGGTACCATGACGCAGAGCGCAACGAGTAGACACTTGATCTCCAATGACTATTGATTGCCGACGGTTTTCAAGGTAAGATCTGAACTAACATAGAGTCAGTTTTGAGAAACCAAAGTAAGACTTGAGTCTTTCCACCAAGATTGTATGATCAATAGTGTCAAAGGCCGCTGATAAATCAAGTAGTACTAATACAACATCTTGGCGACGGTCAATCGTTCAAAGAATACCGTTTGTCACACGTAGCAAGGTCGTTTCCGTAGAGTGGTGTTTCCTATATGCAGAATGCATAGTTGGCATCAAATTGTAAGCTTCTACGTAGTTATGCGTTTGTGTTGCGACAACCTTTTCGATCACTTTGCTAAGGAACGGAATATTAGCAACAGGTCTGTAGTTCTTAAGAATCTCCTTGTCGAGGTTATCCTTTTTCAGACGTGGGCGTACGTGTGATAACTTTAAGAGAAAAGGAAACTCCCTCGTTGTCAGTGACTGATTTACTATGTTAGTTATCAAAAATATTGCAATCACGAAGATTTATTACCGCTTTTAATTCCACTCGTTTGTGATCATGAACTAAAATAAATTTAATCTCTTAACGACAGAATTACTTTAACTTGTCGAGAGCCGGTATGGTATCAGAAGACGGTGAATCTTTACTTTAGGTAATTAGTTGGTAGGCATGTAGAAGATAACACCGCATGCCAATCGCGGGCCTGCATTTCCAGTTTTTAGGCTCTCATTTCTAGCTGGCCCTGTACCTCGACCCAGATCATCGATTTTCTGATGAATCACAAAAAGAGCAAAAAAAAAAACATGTTTTTAGTTACGAACTGGAAATCGCCCACCTTAAAAACTTTCGCGCGTTCCACATGGCGCTTTTGAAACTACTTATCTTAGCTTGGTGAAGGATGATTGAAATATGAACCAAATACAGAGTACATGAGCTTTCTCGGTACAGGCTCTCCGAAGGTCGATGGCAAAGCATCCACCACTAGTAATGCGGAGGGGTATGGGTCCCACTCTCCCCAGGTATCAGCATTTTTTATACTGGGCACACCACGCATGAATGCGGAGATCTTCGAAAATTGAAAAATTTGCGCTAAACAAGTTTTCTCGTCTGCTCGGGAAGATGAAACCTCAAAAGCTGTTCGCTTTATTTACTAGATTAAACGCTGTCAGCGATTTCTTGCAACCCGCGCATCACAGAACTCATCGAATATACAGGGAATATAAATAAAAGATAACTAAGGTAGAATAAAAGTAACAGAAGTAGCCCCCAAAACTGTGGCTCATTCTTTTTGCAATGAGCACCGCCTGGGCAAGCGCTGCACTTGAGCCGCAAAGCTTTAAACCTGTTCCAGGCTGTTCCTAGAAACGAGTGAAGGAGGGGAGGTTACCCAACGTTTCCATAGCAACCACAACAGCCATCTGTCGCTTGCCAGCTCCTTCGCTCGTGTCCAAGGAATGGACACCGAGAACAGGCGGGAAAATATTTGAACCACGACGTGCCGTATAATTGAGTGAGCAGGTTACTCCAGCTTACCACAAAAGATCTTCCCAGGACAGAGTACTCCCCTACGAGAGACACTAGATGGTCAACAATCTTCGTACTGATAATTCCCCTCTCATCTGAGTACACGTTTCCTAGGTCACCAACATGACTAAAAACAACAGAAGTCATTCAGGTTATTACCTGTCCCGTGCGCCCCCCACCCCCTCCTACCTCGCACGTTTTTATCGAGAAAAATTAAACATTCCTTGTAGAAGTGCTGTATGCAATTACGTCGGGAAGGACGTACGGCCCTACGAGATACAGGCTTAAAGAAGAGAGAAAGAAAGAAAGAAAGAAAGACAGCTATCAAGACATCTATACAATAATATGCTCATTAACTGTGCATAGGTCAAGCCGGACAGGTAAAATAATTGAATCTCAGTCATGAAATAAGGGCGGGCCATGACCTGGAGGCAAATATTTTCTCGTGCGGCCCTCTCACTCAGTCCATAAGTGCATAATACTACATCTAATTTTACAGCTATAGAGCAGAAACTCAAATCTGCTCATTTCACTTTCAACTCTTACAGTCCAACGGAAGTGACTTAACGTGACATTGCATGGCTGTGGGGTTACCGTTTCTTGTCCAGCGGTCCTCCGTGGGTCATATTGAACGGATTGTAATGACTACCAGTACTCTGGCACCCTGAAAAATATTCATCGATATTTCTCATTTTCAATCTATTTCGATATATACATCGATATTTCTCATTTTCAAGCTCTGTCGTGCACCCTCGTCCAATCTCGATCCCAGAGTCCTAATTCCTTTGACAAGTGCCTGCTCCCTAAGAAAAGGGTTATAGAGACTCTCGGAACGATATTGCGCCTTACATTACACAGCGGTTAAACGTCACGCACGCGCACATGGAATAATTTGCCGAGCGCTGACAGGTGCATGGAAATCTACGAGTTGAAAGTTGAAGTTGAAGGCGTAGCTTAACTCATTGATTGTCCAATTAATGCTTTCAACGTTCGCAGAAGCGCAGAAAATAAAGACTCTACATGCAGCTCCTAAGCACAAATGGTGCTGCATCGAAGCTGACATATGCTGATACGAAAGCTGTGTACGTTGTGTTGCATACCACCATCTTACTGTAGTAACGCTATCTGATACATAATGCTGCCTTTAGGCAGCTACACACTTCCATAAGATAATTTGTAGTTACATCAACATACCAATCTAGAGCTAATAAATGTTTCTTATCTCATCATTTGTTTGCTGGATTGATATATCGATAGCGTAAGGAAAAGCTAAAAATTGATCACTTTTAGAAATAAAACAGTTACAAGCTTACCCTGTGAAAAAGTATCTCCAAACTCGTGAATATGGAAGCCGTGAGGTGTGTTTGGAGGAAGATTTAGTAAGTTAACAATCATGGTAGTTTCGCCACCAGATTTCTGTAATAAATTGATAAATAAATATTTATATATATAAATAAATGAATAACTAGATTAATAACACGTATGAGAGGTTATCAAGGGCATTAACCGTTAGTCGTAAAACCGCCGGAAAATTTAGCCGTTAGGCGTAAAAATTGACACATTTTAACTGGTAGTCGCAAAAAAAGGTAGCCGCAAAATAGCTTATGGTGACAACAATGGAATGATATTGACGTTAGCCGTAAAATAGCCAAAATTTTAACCGTTGGCCATAAAAATCACCACACATTGAGACCCTCTCATAGTGATTAATACACCTCGAAATAAAAATGTATTTGCTGTCCTTTAGCTAAACAATATGGCTTTCGCTATCACTTGTTTCCTTCGTTTTTGTTTGTGTTTTTTTATTTGGCTTGCTTTTTCTGCTTTGCTTTGTTTTTATGTTGCAAGGGCCAGAGGTCTAGATCGCTTGGAAAAAAAAAGAGAGAGGAAGAGACTGGGGAAAGGCGCATACTTCGTTAGCGCTCGGACATTCTCGTTCCAAGACCCCTCGCTCCTTTTGTCAAGTGGTCAGCTGAGGGAAAACGAGTGACTCTCGAGACAACATTGGTGCAAAGTACGAAAATTGTCTTTCTTCCCACATGTACTTACTCGAGCTTGTGGAATGAAGCGCGGGAAATATTCAGCAACAAGACATCCCCGCACGTTCGCCAACGGTTAGAGCAAAGTACGTGAACAGTAAGAATGTTGCATTAGAAATTCTCCGTATGTTTGTTTTGAATTTCTACGAACCATTACTCGATACATCGATGAAATCTAATGTTCGCCAATAGTTCACTTTACCGGCTGCATCATCCTGACTATTCCCGCGACCTTAGTCACAACGCCGGAAGGGGGCTGAGTATTCGGGATGATAAAGCTCATGGCTTTTACAACAAGTTCACCTGAAAAGTAGAAAAATAGGAAACGATTTTTTTAAATGTTTTCTCTTTTCTTCCATCTTTTATTTATGCCGCAAAAGTGACAGGTCACGCAAGTAACTTTGGTTTAAACTATCAAACAAATTAACTGATAGTACCTTCAGGGGTTTCCCTCGAAACAGCTCCACGAGAGGCAGCTGTCGCCAGCATCACCAATCCACAGGCGAAGAGAAGCATCATGTATTTGATTGGATCTACAAAGATTTTGGAAATAATGAATGACGGCCTCTTTTAAATGCCCATTTCACTGCGTTGTCTCAACGTGCGATAAGGCTCTCATTTAAAAAACGGCACTACACTCCTTTTTATCATAAGAATCTTTTCTATAAAAATGTTCAGGCTGAGATTAACACAAAATTTTAAGAAAATTTTAGGAATAGGCTATCAGCATACCCAGGCTGAGAGTCAGTTTAGTTTGTCTTAATTTGCTTTTTTTCTGGCGAGAACAGTATAAATAAAAGTAAAAGAAATATAAAACTCAAATACTGAGTGAAATTTTTTACCGTTAAAAACGTGGTTTCCTCATAGTTCGATAAACTGAACTTTAACCTCGTAACTCCCCAGATCTCATTAGTAATTCTCTTTACTGTCTGACATACAATTCTTATGATGTTAATTTGGAGAATTTGGTATTGGATCAACTAATAATCCCCTAACTGATATTTTACTTTATTCTCATCACTTCTGTACTTGATATTGTATCGATATTGTAAGGAGAAATTCTCTTTTGGTCACTCATGGGAGGTAGAGAACATTTTCAGGCTCAGATCGCGAAAAAAATAATTTTAAAAAAGTTCAGTCTCAGCCCCAAAAGTAGACGTTCTCGTAAAAAAAAAAAGAGTGTAATGAGTCTAAAAAATGCCATGCCCTTCTCTATTCCTGCTTTGTTTCGAGTTACGTTATTTTCTTTACTTTTTGTTCGGTTTTTAATGAACTTCTACAAAAACTTGTAATTTCTAGAACCCTTGGCAAAACAATAGCTCAGCACGTGCGGTTTAAAACTGTATACATTTCTCAGCCGTCCTCTGCAAAACAACAACGTGAAATCACCAAAATTTCCTCGATCAGCGAAAAGGAACCCCGATGGAAAATTATTCAAGTTTCCATTTGAGACTCGACGCGGCTCCCATACATTATGCTTAAGTTAAGGTGTAGCACCGTAAGAGACGGCTAAAACATCCAGCCATTAGCGAAATTCTAACTAAAAGTATAAATTAAATCGACCCCTTCCTTGGCGTTGCTGACTGCTTAAAGTCCCTATCAGTAAGAACAACATGCAACAGCAGCAAACAAGCGTGCTCTTATTTGTCAAGCTGTTTTCCTTCAGCTTATTGTTTTTCGTTTTTAGGATCCTTTGTTCTGCCTCATTCGTAAATTTTTAAAATTAGCTTCAGTACCGGAAGAGTCCACGACGACATCGACTGATGGAAGATTCTGAGCGATCATCAGAAGTGACACATAAAGAACATGTTTCTATGTCACGCCTTCCACACTGATCACGAGTTTTTACCCTTGCCAGGGGCTTATCACCACCCCCCCCCCCCTCCTTGTTAAGCTGTTTCCCTTCAGCTTATTGTTTTTGGTTTTTTCGTTTTTGAGGATCCTTTGTTCATTAGAAGTGTAGCGGCCGATACAAGCGAAGCAAATTTTCAACGACAACTATGAGTTTCGCAAATGAAGACACACTATCAAGCGAGGATATATTTTACGGAAAAGACTTAAATCGTTTTATTAGCGTAGTCGAGGTATCCAAGTACTTATTATAAACTGAAATATGAAATTATAAGGAAGAAGCTAAGCTAAATTCTAATACATGAACCAACATTCCAATCATTCCGATATAAAGGCAAGATCCAAAAAGACTAGCCAAAACTTTAAAACAAACTCACAAAAAGATTAACTTCAAAGGATAAAGGAGAACCGCTTGAAAACGAATTCTAACAAAACTAATAACTGAGTAGGAAAAACGAGCGGCTTTCTAACAAAGCGTGAACAACGTAAGCCACCTGTTACAAGGTTACGAGAACAAGTGATAAAGAAACTGGTGTAAAAACTGGGCGAAACTACTGAAAGACTAGATGTTCAGTCAAGCACAAAGAAAAGGGACATAAGTACTTACATAACAGTCCCGCTTGTGAGAGTTCGACCAAAAAGAACTTCAAGATAAGGTGGGCAAAAGGGCGCTTTTCGATAAACACGTTAGCTCAAAGCAAGACAACTAACTAGAATGCGGTTCTGAGTGGAACTTAAAGATCACGTCCCTCATGGACAAACAGCAACGTCACTATTGCGGTTTAACACGTTTAACACGAAACAAACTTATAGCGAATCAGTGTCCGGCGGCAAAGGCGCGGCAGCCGTTACAGAAGTGACACAAAAAGCAAAGAGCAGGTTTCCATGTCATGCCTTCCACACTGATCACGAGTTTTTACCCTTGCCAGGCGCTTATCACCTCCTCCCCCCTTTGTTAAGCTGTTTCCCTTCAGCGTATTGTTTTTCGTTTTTGAGGATCCTTTGTTCATCAGAAATGACACATAAAGAGAATATTTTCATGCCACACTTTACACAATGATCACGAGTTTTTACCCTTGCCAGGCGCTCATAACACCCCCCTCCCCCCACGACCTAAACGTACACTTATTTTGCTAAGTCGAATGCTACATCCCTTGCCTCGTTGTACAATAAAAAGAAAGAGACGAAAATAAGTAACAGCAATTACTAATCCACACTTGCAGGCGATGTTTTTTGGCACCACACACCGCTAAGGTCAACGAGGGGGGCATTGGGATTATTTTCGGTTTTGCGGTTTCTATTAGACCCAATGCCCTCCTTGTCAACCAAGGAGAGCCCCTTCCTCCCCCCACCCCTCCGGGTCCTCAGGGTGTTGCTTTAATATCCCAAGGGAATATTAAAGATAAATTAAGAAAGTCTAAAAAAATGTCAACACGGTTCGTGTACGTGCTACGTGGCACGTGGCAAGTTTTTTCAGTTGTCTCGGATCAAATGCAGTGACCTTGCTTGATATTAGTGTTTAGCCATACAGGATTTAGATATTTTTTTAACTCCTCAAATATTTAGGTTCTTCAACAATTGTATAGCTTCAAGCGGAGTTGTTCATTCGATAAAAAGCCACAGACGAAAAGTTTAAATCAAACTTGTCGCGGAAGAGAAGAGGTAACGTAAGCATGCATTGGCACATTGAATAAATGATTCTACTACTGCTGTATTTAAAAGTATTCCCTTGTGATCGAAGCACAGTTTTGACAAGCCTCTCCAACTTACTAGCTAAATCAAACCAAACGAATTGCGCAAAGAAATTTAATTATACTACCAAGTGTACCAGTATGTTGCATCGTCAACTGACATCTTATCTTTGAACAAAGCCTTCCAAAATGTGTAAATACAGTTTATCCCAAAGGGTAGTATAGTTCTCCGTAAGGACACTCAAAAGCATGGTCTGTAATGGATGTATTAACCTCAAAACGCCTAAGGTAACGAGATTCGCTTGAAAAAAGTAACAAGTAGTTGACAGTCTGTAATAACGCATTCACCCTTTTGGGGCACCTTCACGCGCTATCCACCAATGTCAACAGCTTATGTTACAGTATTCGACTGCGAGAGAAGAAAGCTGCTCCGATATATGTTAGACATGTATCTAGAATGTAGTATTGATATGAATATTGCAGTCAACAATCCATCACTGAGGTGAAAAAAATCGTGTCAAAACAAGTTTTAGAAACTTTAGAGTGTTCTTTGCTTAAATGGTGGTTTCCTTACAACAAGGCAAATACTGGAGCATCTTGTGGTTTTCAGGAATATCATTTGTAAAATGTTTACTTGAGGTTTAGGCACTTATGCTTTAAATGTGTGGCAGAAATTTACATAAAGCTCATTTGGTTTCTTTTTTTTGTTACTGTTCAGTGCAGCTTTCAAACATTGTTATCTACTTTTCAATTTTTTTAAGAACTTGTAGAAAGTAATTTAGAAAATATCAGAGAATGCCATCATAGTTATTGTTACAGTTAAAAATTTAAATGATCAAAATAATGTGGTATAATAGCATGCATAAATACTCAATTTACTTTCTTACTCAAACCTACTTTAAAGATCAATGCTGTTTATATCAGAAGTTATAAGTCAAGTTATGTTTTTGTGGTCCAATTGAACAAAGACAAATAAACTATTTAAAAAGTAATTGGTTGGTTAGCTCTAAAACCTAATATATAGATCTATACTATTTATAACAGTGGTTCTAAATATTGTGTTAACCCCAGTAAGCGGAAGTTGACACTCCCTTATAAGCAAAGTTATACGTTTGCTCTCATTTGCTTATCTCAGCAAACTTATTCGGTACTGAGAATTTGATCATGTTTGCTATACAGAGCGAAGTTGGTCAATGCTTTTTTTGGTCAAGAGTTTGCTCACATTTACCATACCAAGCAAACTGGGTCAAACTTTTGATTTTGTCAGCATTTTATTATCTGAGCAAACTTATTCAATACTAAGAATTTGATCATATTTGCCATACGGAGCAAACTTGCTCAATACCAAGAATTTGCCAGCAATTACCAGCCTATGCAAATCTCATCAATTCTACGAGTTTGATCATGTTTGCTGATCCAAGTAAACACTCCAAAATTACGCTTTTGAGCACATTTACAGCGTTTTGTGAGCTTGCTGGTAATCATAAGTTTGCATGTTTTACATCGGAAGAAAACGTGGCGCAAAAAAGGAGATCTGCTCATAAATTTGCTTCGTGTGTAAACAGGCATCAAATAAACACATTTACATCCGCATTTGCCCCGTGGGCAAATGAAACGAAAATTCATAGCTGCGCAATACTTTTGTACAAGAGTGGAAATCTTTAACAAATGTGGCATTTACCACCTTTGCTACGGGTAACAAATGTGGTGTAAAATCGATCTTTGTTCTTTGGCAAACTAAGGCAAATATGTACAAATGTGGTATTTGCTTCCGTTTTGCTATAGATTTGCTACCAACGTAAATCCATTTTTTCGTCCAGTGTCCGTTTATAATTTAGAGATAGAGGTTTGGAAGGCAAAATAATAAACTTTAGTCTTACTTTTCTCTTGAAGAGCAGCGCTGAAACTGCGTCGAAATTTCGCTTTTGTTCAGCTGGGTTTCCTACCGGTAAGTGACGTATGCAATTATCGAAAACAGGATTCGATTCTTCTGGATACAAGCCAGGAAACCGGGTCGAGTATTTTATTAATCAACTATCAACTATTTTTAAAATTGCTTTTATTTCAAAAAATTACAACAATTTATATCAACTGGTATAGGAAAAAAAAAAATAGATCAATGATGAGGAAATCTAACAAAAACCATTTAGGCTTGTAAAGTAAGGTTCTTTCCGTGACGGAGGGGGCGGGGGAGAGAGATTTAGGGGATTACATGGTTTTCAGGGGGGAATGGAGGGGGGATTACTCGTCGCCTGAACAGTTTAAAGAGGGAACTGGCTAGAGAGAATTGACAGCAAATCAACTATAAATGAGAAGGGAGGGGGTGGGGGAGGTTAATAGAACATTACAGAACCAGTAGTCCAGGTAATTTTATTGTAACAAAACCAAACTCCTCCAAATCCCACCCCCCTCAGGCGATAAATAAGGACCGATCCCTAAATAAACCTAAAAACAGAGCTCGTTGACAAGCCATATCATAATCTACAATGAAATTAGCAGTCGTTAAGTTTTTAAGTTTTTTTTTCTTAATAGATGAAGTCAAGGCTTGCTGGCAGAATTCCTTAAAATGCTGCATTGACGAGTGTGAAACAACAATTTACTTCAGTCTTTCAAGACAATTTTTCCGGGAAAAGTGCCGTCGCACAACTGATTGCTTTTTTCTACAGAATGTTGACCAAAATTCCAAACATTAATTCCAGCTAAATTGAAATAGGCTTTGATACCATTACTATATGTGTTCTCAAGAGAAAAGAATGGACCATTATTTTCTTTTGGTATTCTTGAGTGCCTCGAGACCTCATTGTAAACCTATAATAAACCATATTCATTCCATTTTTACTTTTAACTTCCAGAGAGCGTTAAAAATCTGATATCAATCTTCATTAACCGCGAAAATTTGGTGACCACAAAACTTTGATTTTTCTTAGCCAAGCAGACGGCGTCATCATGAGGTTTCGACATCTGGATCTTGTTGGCCTATTTTCACGGGCGCAAGTCGAACAACGCCACATCCCAAACGAGCGCCCGCGTTACCGGTTTTCAAACTCTCAACTTGAAGTGGCCCAGTCCCTTGACCGAGGTCATCTATCTTTTCATGGATCTGGGAACGAAACATAACAAATCTCTGAGAGAAATGAACGTTCTGCAGTCTCAATGAATTTTCTATGCAGTCGGAATATTTATTAAAGAAAAAGATCTGATAATGATAATGATGATGATTACATTAATGGCGACAAAATAATTTAATAGCGATGTTGATGAACGAACTGCCGACGCGAGCTGAATGCGTCTCTTCTTCGAAAATTATTTACAATATGTTTTCCAATTTCAGCTCACCACAAACGCTCTTCCAACAACTGAGAAGGGCCCAAACAAGGACACCCGAGGATCAACAAGCACAGCATTGACGACACCCTCTTTATCCGCAACCACGTTTCCCAAGTCTCCAAAGTGGCTATAAACAGAAATTAATTGTTTACTCTACGAAACAAATAAGATACGCCATAGCGATATGTATTAGTCACATTAAAGAAACATAAACAGTCATATAACGATTGTGCGATATTGTGTGACAAGCAGTTGCTTACCGTATTTTATCTTGAGGCGCACCGTGTGTCATATGCAACGGGTTGTAGTGACTTCCGGTGCTTTGACACCCTGGAGGATAATTTAAAGCAATGCCTTTGAGCGCGTGATTAACCGAACTTATGCTTCATTCTTAATGTTTGGAAATGGGCGATTTTTACGTTCAATGTGGATTGGGACGAAGGCGAGGTCCATAAAAACGCAAAAAAAGAACGAAGCCATCATCCAGCTACCTTGATCGAACAAATTTAGCCAAATGAAATCACAAGATTAGTCGAAGTTTCCTTTGTTTTTAGTGTCTTCATGACAAGGATTGGGACAGGTGTTTGTGTGTTTGTTTTTTTATTTTGTCTTGTCTTAGAGAGAAGGCAATCGCTCGGTAAGAGTGAAGAGAACTCACACGTTAAGGAGTGCTTCTCCTTCTCCTTTGGTGCATGACATCGCCCTTCACGCTCACCTCGCGTTCCCCTCGCGTTTGTCTCGTGTTCGCCCTGCGCTTGTCTCTGCCCGTCTGAAAAACGTGGAAAGACGAGGCTCGTTCCGCATGCTATCAAGACGTTGGTCACGATTTTATTAGTATTAGACCAGGCAAACGTACCGTCTGAAAATGTGTCTCCGTATTCATGGATGTGAAATCCATGTACTGTGTTGGGAGGAAGACCTTTTATATGAATATGCATGGTTGTGGGACCCATTCCCAATGGCTGCAAAAAAAGAAACAAAAACGACAAAGAACAATTTGAGAACCATCAAACAAAAGGAAACATGTAAGAATTGTGCTCTGATAGCTTTAGGTGATGTCGATCTCCCCTCCCTTCCCCCCCCTCATTACTTATAATGTCCCATCTGATCAGTGCTGAGTCTCATGCAAAAGACCTCCCACTAAAATAGCAGCTGAAAATAAAATCCCTCAGCGTTAATTGGGCAACAAGCTAAGAAAATAGACATTGAATTTAAGAAATTTCCTTAGATTGGTCAGTAGTGTATTTAATGTCGATCACTGGTCAAGGTAACGAAGGCTCTTGGTTAACGGTGTCGTGACATTAGGTACCAGTTCTCCTTACCGGTTGGGTCATCATTACTTCTCCTCTAACTGGCGTTTCAGTCCCGGGAGGGGGCGCAGAATTAGAAGTGATATAACAGACAGCTGTCAATAATACTTTTTCTGAAAAGCAAAAAAGAAACTCAGACAAACTGTCAGTGATACAGGTTTAAAATCCTGCACGAATATGTAAGGCCAACGTGTAATTACTATAGTTGCTGCAGTTTCGTTTTATCAGTCAAATTGTCGGCGTCAAAGCTTGCTAGCTTATTTTCATTGATAGACGCTCACGTTATTTTAATTATGATACTCCTTTCTTTCAAATTCTTTTCTACCCAGGACTCGTTCTTGTTATTATGCTATTTCACAAAATCATATTTGGAAAATGAACGAGATTATCACGTTCTACACTAAAAATTACGCGCGCGTTCATGCGGGCTGGTACTCAGGAACACTCTCGCCTGGCAAGCAAGGAAGCTGACATTGGGATCGGTATACTCCTTCACTAATGAAAAATTCTTCAGTGTATATCTTACAAACCTTGAAGGCCTTCCGTTATTCAGTAACTGAAATAGGAAATTAATAATTTTAGATCATTGTGAGAAAAGCAGAGACATCTACCTGCAACACCTTTGACGTTTACTTCCCCGACAGTTGCTGACAACAGCACAAATCCGTAAGTAATGAACAGCATTGCGCCGTCTTCCTGAAAACATATCAATACTTGAAATGATTCAGTTTACACTAGAATATTTTTGCAAGTCAATTGAACTTAAAATCAGAAAAAAGTAAGGGACTCTCTTTTCAAAATATAAGATTCATCGATTTAAATGAATATTAGAGTAGGCTACGAGTAGGATGTGCGTGTGGAGAGAGACAAACGTGGTAATAAACGATTGAGGTCAGAGAAAAGAACGAAAATTTTCTACGCGCGTAATATTTAGGCCCTGTAAACCGCAAAGCACCCTCTTCGAGTGAAAAAAGCGCGCCGTAATCTGTCATGGTTCCGAGTCGGCGCGCTCAACCAGAAAATTCTAATGCGTGCTAGCTACTTTCAATCTCTTTAACTACAGGTAGTTTTATTTGCGGAAATTATGATAGAGTTGATAGTAAGTTTGTACTGGAAAGCCAAAAACTGAATACACAAACGATTTCAGGGTGCGAGAAACTTCAAACTGTTGCCCGTGTGAGGTGGCCATATTGTGTCGATTACTGTTTATACAAGTTACACAGGTTTTGATAAGCTTATATTTATTCCAAATACTTCGATTTTTTTACTATTCTGATAGCTTGATCACAATGTCGAGCGCTGGCTATTTACTTGAGTTTTAATCACTAATGAAGACTTATACAGGCTGAATTTACCAGGACACAAATGAATGATTTTGCAAATTTAAGGCAATTGGTGAATTAGCAAGTACCTCAGGCAAACAGCAAACAGAAAATCTTCGCTCATTAAATTATCATTTTCGCGATAAAATTCGCTCTTGCTAACTAGGAAGGTACGCGATTAATTGTTTCTCGACAGATTGAATGATTTCAATGAATGATTGAATGAATCCTCCACGTCCTGTTAAGACTGTTAAGACAAAGTTTTCCAAAGTTTAGCAAGCGGGGATCCAAGTGTGCGATCAACTGAATCAAAAGAGTTATTCAAATTAGTATATCCTGGTACCTTTGGGACGAAACACACCAAATTCAACTGAAACAGCGGACGGGACGGGACCGCTTAACCTTTGATTTCAGAAATTTTCTACCATGTTAAAATCCTAACATTACTTCAAGTACACTGCAGGTTAGGCCACTTTGAAGACAACAGAACCCTACCTACGTACAGCGCCCTACAATGATATGACCCATCGATGCAGTGATGCGTGCCATTGGCAATCTCTCGGTGGGAAAAAAAATTAAAAAGGCAACACGACTTTTCACTAAAAAGCTATGGTGAAAGTACTTATATCTTACCTATGTCTTGAGAAGCAGAGCTGGAAGAACCTGATATTCTCTCTTTTGACAACTACAGTAAACGTGTGTGCAGTGCAAAAGGCACTCTGTTTTATTCAAATTGTCGTATTTAACACGAGACTTGCGCTGTTGTTGTACTCATATATACAATCAATTGGAATTAATTTCTACTGCAGGTACCTATTTTAGGTCACGAGCACTCAAGGCATACATTATTCAATACATAGATCTCACCTGGCGGAGCTTCAAATGTTTTCTTTTTGAAGGTCTGATTCACAAGGATGAGCCACCTACTTTGTCAAAGACGGGAAGGCCAGCCATTTTTAATTCAATGTATAGATTCAGCCGAGCCAGTAAAAACGGAGCTTCGAATGTTTTAAGCCGTATATAAGTCAAATACAGGGCAGGTAATTAATTATATGATAAGCTGAAATGACTGTGAATATATAAAAATCATATATGTGAACTGCGGATAAAGACGTGATATGAAAGCGATCTTCGCAGTAATGAACGCTACTTGAGCAGTAGTGAAAAGAAGGCCTGAAAAAAAAAAAACAAACAAAAAAAGACAAAAAAAATTCAAATCCCGTACATGCCTGAATTTTTTCAGGTCTTATTTTCACTGTACTTCTAAAGTAGTGTTCATTACTGCAAAGATTGCTTTCATATTCACATATGCTGCAATATACACTCATCATTTTGATTGGTTCTTCCTTATCATCTATTAGAGGCCAGACACATGGTTGACGTCACAAATAAGAACATTTTGCTTTTCTATCATAAAAAAATCGATTCATATTGCCGCAGTTCTACATTATAATATCTCAGTTGTCAAAACGTGTTCTTACCATATTTTGATGTCATCTGAGATCTATTACTAAACAGACAGATGCTCGACGACATGGAATCTGTCTTCCAAAGGAATATATTTCTTCTCCATCAAGAGATATAAATATTCCACCAAAGATGTACAGAGAGAATTTACTTTCGCGAACTCGAAAATCCCCGTTTGAGAAATTCTTTCTCTCCACGCTTGAAGGCAAAGCCAGCGCCTTCAAATTTCTTCGATTTTGTGAGCGTTCTCTTTAAGATCTGTTTTCAATATGGAGAACTTATCTGTATAAGTGTAGACTTAAAGCCTACTAGTAGAGAATAAAGTCGTTTTAAAATTCATCCGAGGCAATGTTAACCGGGTTTCAAACTAATATCCACTCATTTTCCTTCCCCCATAAAACAACACTGTTTTTACAGAAATGCAACCACTTTATTACAAACGACAATAACAAATGATACTGAAAAAGCACTCCCGAGTCAAGTCCGTAAAAAAAAATCTTAAAAATTCGATGAAGGAATCGTAATCTCATGGTTGGGGAGGTTGAACCAGCAACCTCGTCAATTCTGACCACAAAGTTAATCTTCGTCAAAATTACATTAAATTTACTCAACACTTATCTGTTGATTTAATATTTACATCGTATGACAATCGCAATCTTGAATTTAAGTATTCACACAGAAAACTTTGAACCTCTGATCTGATCAAACACATGAACCTACGAAACTGTGATAAACTTTAAATTTTTCTCAATCTGAAAAGAACCTTTGCACACATTCGCGTGATACTTTAATAAACCACTGATAACAACCAGGGACCTCGTTAAAATAATGATTGCGCATGACTGACGAAATTCTAACGCTGTTGTTTTTGAGCCTGCCAATGCTGCTGCACGTGAACAGAGCGTGGCTAACATAGTTTGCGCAGGCGCGACAAAATATCAAGCGCATGTGCACAAAAGCTCCTCGTCTCAAGATAACTAAAAGTTTACAAATCTCATTGTTCACAAGTTTGTGATAATCTTTCTGGTTCTGGTTGGCCGTTGTGTAAACTTAATTTAAGACTCCAAATCACTATAGGTGCTTTATATCAATATTTCAATTCGGATATATACTCTCTAGGAAACCATTTAACAATTAAATATTTTTTCTAAACTCTATCAGTAACAATTAAGACAATGAATTCGAAAACTTTCCATTCATACACTGCATTATTCCTTTCTTTGTCTACCAAGAAGCTACACAACGAGATTTTGAACCGTTTCAACCCAGAGGCGCAGAAAACTTCACTCCGCGAGAGGTTAACTGTTAAAGAGTAGTTTGCTCAGATAGAAAAACAACATGGCGTAGTGCAGGTCCTCATTATTAGCGCTTCGGCACAGCCATTTCTTCGCTCGCGGAAAGTACGAGATGTGCACGGGGTCTAACACTAATAATTAATACCAGACCTCTCCCCGACTCGTCTCAAGTCTTCCCGCGGGCGGAGAAACGCACGTCTTGCACCGATGATAATGAAGGCCTGATCCCAAGCTAAATAGGGATCAACACAAATAGAACACGGATGGAAAAGAAAGGCAGATTTACACAGATTGCAAATGACAACGTTAACCCTGAGTTTCATACGGAACAAAAACCCGTTAAATAACTTCTTCTAATCTCATATTTGATCAAACTTTGCCTTTGCACGAGCGGCATCCATTCACAACAGATGTCTTAAGATTCTGCCATTTGTCTGGGTGACGTCTGAAGTAAAATACTGATCCACCAATCGCAATCACGATAACAAGACACATGATCACTATCCCGGCTATAGCGGCTTTGTCAGGCACGGTTCGTGCCACGTAGATTCCGCCTAGAAAAAAAAATTAAACAAGAGGTTACTCAAAATAGCAAGTTTTCGTTATCGAGATTATAAGAGAGTGGGACTGGAATTGGTTTTGTCTTACTATGGTCTGTGATTGGTCAGCAAAACTTGCGCCATGCTCTCGACCAATAAAATGCATTGCTGGCTAAGTTTAATCGCGACTTGACCTCTCACGCTTTCCCACGTTTTTACCTCTCACGTTTTCCCGCGCTTTTACAGTCGGTTTCCTTGTTTCTACATGGAGTTTTTTTATTGGCTTCTTTTGATATTTTCTTTGTTATGATTGGTCATCGCTATAACTTTAGCACTGGCTTTATCACAATTGGTCGAAAAGCGTTCTGATAAGCAGCATTAGAATTGCCTATAAAGCAATCGCCAATGTTTTGGCATTTCTTTTACAAGGAAACGCACACTTATACAGTTGCAGGAAGGGACTTTCGAAAAGGTGAAAAAGCTGTACCACGCTTCCTTATTATGTCATGGTTTATTCACTTGATTTAACGATTCTATTACAACGCTTCGGTTAACTCCCACTCACAACTCCCAGCTCATTCGAAAAGAACACACATAAACGTCCCGTAGTAAGCACGTAGCATAACTTGTGATGACTTACTAGATTCATCCTAGATATTGGGCGAACAATGAATAGGAGAACTAATAAACGTATTACCTTTATCTGTCTCTACTGTGGCAAAGTCGTCTGAAATGGTAGAGTCCACTTTGTACCAAGTTTTTAGATCCATATCGTCGGAGGAACGATAAAACTGCACTTTAGACGCCGCACTGGAATCAATCTTCATTCCGATTTTGAACTTTTTGTTCGTCTCTAACGAGTGTGGGTTCACAGCTAAAAAGGCGCTCGCGTACCCACTACCAACACCCATTCTACCTCCTCTCTCCTCGATCATTTTGTCGCCATCTTCTGCCGACATAAGCTCGACACTGATTGGCTGTAACTGAGATAGAGCCTCTGCCTCAAAGGTCACATGCTGACCACTAATGGGAAAATGAAAAATAAGGGTTTAACTCTTTACAAACTTAACATCAGTATGCATATTCTCCATACTGCTCTTTATGCATTTCCTAATGTGCTGACGAGGAGAATTTGTTTACCAATCAAAAGATTATTTAGTTGGTGATCATTTCCTTTATTCTCATGACCTTGACGCGTGATTCAGGGGTGATATTGAAGGGAGAAATTTGATGCTGGTCACTCTTGGGGTTTGAAGGGTTAACGTTAAAGATACATTATTTTAACAATTAAGATACAAACGAAAAAAAGAGAGAAAGAATGAAAAAAGGAATGAAAGAAATAAAATAGGGAAAGGAATATTTGAATGAAAGAATGGATTAGTGAAAGAAAGAAAGAAAGGAAGAAGGATGGAAAGAACGGGAGAAAAGAAAAAAATTGGGAGAAAAGAGGATGGGAGAAAGGAAAATGGGAGAAAAGAGGATGGGAGAAAGGAAAATGGGAGGAAAGAGAATGGGAGAAAGGAAAATGGGAGAAATAGAAAGAGGATGGGAGAAAAGAGAATGGGAGAAAGGAAAATGGGAGAAAAGAGAATGGGAGAAAAGAGAATGGGAGAAAGGAAAATGGGAGAAAAGAGGATGGGAGAAAAGGGAATGGGAGAAAAGACGATGGGAGAAAAAGATAGAGAAATAGAGAAAACCGAAACAAAGAAAAGAGAGAAATAAAGATGAAAGAGAGAAAAAGAGAAAGAGAGAGAAAATTAAAGGAAAAAAAGAAAGATAAAGAGAACGAAAGAAAGAAAAAAAGACAGAAAAAAAGACAGAAAAAAATGACAATTCTGCAACACTTACTCACTAAACACTAGCTTCCCGCCAGTTCTGCCGATCATTTTCTCAATTCGCTCTGTATTTGAGATAATGATCTTTCCTTTCTGGCTGCGATTTGAAAAGTTGTTGTTTCTGGTGCTCATGTAATGATATGTTCCTGTTCCAGTCACTTTCTTTGGTCCCAAGTCAAAATATGTTCCGGCATCGTCCAGCTCTGACATGTCACCTCCAAACTGACCTGTTAGTTTTTACGTAAATTATCATACATTATCAAACGTCATCATAAATTATCACATATAATTATCATAAATCAAAATATAACAACATCAAGAGAATATCAGTTGATATTCTCTTATCACCATATCATATAGCATTGTTTATTGACATACATCGTACATTTTCATATATAATCATACACTGCAAGTCATCAAACACAACCACATATCACCATTCATCTAGCCTACGGGTAGCCCTACCCTTCCCCCCCCCCACCCCAGGTGAAACGGAAGGGAGGGAACGTCTACGAAAACCTGACACAAATCGTGTCCTATGACGTTACTCTTTTGCAAGAAAGTACACAATGACTTTTAATTGGTTGACCCTTTTTGTCGATTTCCTTTCCTGAATTCTGATTGGCTGGGGTTGGTGGTATTCATTCTGAAGAAGAAAGTCCTCAGGAAGGAAAAGTCAATTTCACAGGGCCTTTTTCTCCTTAAAAATACGCCGGAGAAAAGACTCTGGAAACCTGTGAAGTTGATGGTAAACTAGGCGTAAAAGCAAAACACGCGGAAACACTCGTGTCTAAGAAGCACTCGCTAACTTATATCAGTCCTAGATGTGAAGACTAAAAAGGCAACATAAAGGTTTTCTGACTTTACTTACTGTTGTCTAAGACCGCCAGGTTATGCAGACTGTTCTTATCCAAACCTAAAAAGGTGGTACTGTCCAGATGTGGCGGGTAGTTTCTACGCCATTCGTTCTCTTTCAGTAAGACCACGTTTGATCGATCTGTTCCGGCTTTTCCCTGTCCATCGTTGTTATTGGGGTTCGAATTTGAACCAGTCCACCTGATAATGGATAGGATTAACATTACCATTTTGCGCCAATATTGTCCCAATACTGGTGCTAATAGAGCTATTTTCAACTGAATGTCGAAATTAATCTAGGATTGCATTTGGTTTGCTTTATTTCGCTTTGTGATTGGTCCAGAAACCTAGCGCCACGCCCTCAACCAATCAGATGTGAAACTGATATCAACCGCTGACTTGGTTGTGATATTTTTTCTTCTCTCTGATTGGCGTTTTGATAAATCTGGTTTGGGTTTCAACAACACGTAATTGGAAAGTGCATTATATAACAAAAACATTTCTCCATAGTTTTACTCACTGAAAGTGGATGTAGTCACCATCTTTCACGAACATGGAGTTGGGAAAAAAGTCGTACTCTACGCCGGGATAAACTTGAACAATGTTGCCGCGCTTCCCACGAACATTCAAATTGTGAATATGGACACCTTCCAGATCAGATGGCCGGGGGCGTACTGCGAATGTGTGGGACCTAGGAAAAGTAAACTAATGATGACTCCAGATGTAGATTATTAAAGATAATTGTTGCGATGAAACGACTCAAAGATTCTGTGAACAGATGGACTATGAGTGTGAGACTTAGCAATCTATAGAATAAAAGCCTACGAACAGGATTCGGTTGGAAGGACCCAGGAGTTTCGAGAGAAGAGGCCGTTGGGAGAGGGGGGAGAATGGGGATCGTTCTGTCTCCTAATACTGCCTTACCTTGACCAGAGAGCCTGGGTAGGAGACAAGATGGCCTAGTACCAGTCTCTCTATCTCGGGCATGTGTATTGTTTTCAATATCGTCATCGTCAAAGTTTTAAGGGCGTGACCCCCCTCTCCTGGTAAGATAATTATTTTCCTTCAATCAACAGCATATTAACATGATAATTCAGAATTGAAGAAGCATGCGCACGTAAAGAATCTTCATGGTATAAATCTTTTTTAGTATTTAATACTGAATACGCCATTTGCAGGTCCTTGTTGCTTTAAGTACGAGCCCACTGACAGACAACGTTATCACCAACTACACTTTGCCCCTCCTCCGAAAAAAATACTGGCCACCCCCTATACGAAAAACTTGGCAACCCCCCGCGTTATCTCTGCGGCTATCGTTATTTTGTGGGGATATTTGACGCGTAGTATGAACCCACCTGTCTTGAAAAACTCGGCCATATTGATTTGTATTAATTGCCAATCTGAGCTTCAAATCAAAAGACGGGAACAGTTTTACTATAGGATTCTGTTTGTAGACGTAACCTCTTTGGGCTGCCACTGTCTTGTTCATTCCGTACTTCTCTCCCACGTCAAGCTTTATTCCATTCACGGAGCTGTTTACTGAGGAGTCCCAACCGTCATAATCGCCAGTGGAAATATTGTACCTGAAGGAAATGTTCATTAAACGCAAACTAATGAAGATGACAAATCTGCTTCACCAAAGAGCAAAAAGGAAATTGAACATGCGTTACCTACGCATCTCAGCGGTCAAACGTCGCGCATGTCCAAGTGGATAAATTTTACCCGGCCGCGCGCGTCAATTTCCCGCGAAAACGTTTTAAAGCAAAACATATGCAACAACCGCTGTAACGCAAAATTCGACAAAAGATAAAGAAGAAAACAGATGTGTCAGTAAAACGAAGCGAACAGGAGGTAAATAGAAAACTCGAGACTTTTCAAGCTCAAAGTTTACCTAATAACGTGTATCTATGCAAATTACCGCTTCGTTTTAAGCTTTATTGAAAAAGTCATTCACCAACATATCAAAATTCATCTTTCTTCAATATTAAGAAAAAAAATTCAGAGCTTCCTTAAATCTCTACAAATCAACAGGTTCGGCCTTACTGTGGTATCACGAATGCGTAACTAAATCACAAAGCTTCAGGGCTACAATTATACACAAGTCAAAGACAAAGCCTTTATCAGGAACCCCACCTTATTCGCAAGACGCAATTTTCGTGATTCAACTTGGGTAGCGTCCAGTTATAGTTATTGGCGTAACCACCCATTCCGTTGCCAAGATGATTGTCACGTGACCAGGCGGATTCCCGGCACTCTGGAGCATCGAGGTCATGTGACGGGAACCTCTTCCACGTTGCATTTAATGCCTTGAAGAACAGATTACAAAGAATAAATTGCTTACGAGTGACACGCGATAAAAAAAGTCTACACGTGCGCACCATGCCTCTAATTTAGGCACGCGGTATTTCAATCCACGGTCTTAATTTTTCTTTCAGCTACTTTCTTACATTGAAAAAAGGTAAAAAAAAAAACAAACAAAAAAACACGGGGTCTTATTTTCACGACTGGATTGACAATAAGAGAATTGCATTTTCCGTCGAGTTACAGGAATGGGGTCGCACATTTTCTAGATTTTAGGGGTAAAAACATTCTGGTAGGTAGGAATTTAAAAAATGGAAGATTGGCGAATAAAAAGTTGATACTGTTGCGATCGCGAAAAATTACATTTGCCCAAAAGTGACCGAGACAGGATCTCAGTTGGCCACAGAATAGACTCTTATGTATGCCGAGTAGAGGTTTCGAGAGGCCGGCAGCATTAGTGATCAAAACTACACTGTTCTATGTCGCGCTCTAATCAAATCTGTAACACAATTCTCGAACGTGATTAGTCATCACCAGCCCGATTTTAGCACTAATAGGACAGTGTACGCGTCATGCTTGTAATTGGACAGTGTGAAAGGAAAGTTAAAAGGACAGTTAACACTTCATGCCTGTGTAAGTGGACAGCACGCGTCATGTGCGCGCGCTGTCTTTTCGCATTTCGCCGAGTTAACTGTTGTATTTTTTATGAAAACGTCTAACCGATGTTTAGTTTCTTTCCTAAATTATTTCATAGTTTTGATTAATTGGTGACAATACTTTGTGTCTTCCAGTTCTGTCTGTAATCATACTCGTGATTTACAAATCGGACTACCGCTTCGCGGTCGTCTGTTTGAGTTTGTTACCGAATTGGACTCTACTTGGTCACTATATGATCACTAGAAATCGGGCTAGTTACAACCAATCACGTTCAAGAATGTTCTTATAGTCTTGTATACTTTATCATCCCTGATGCAGCATTTTTTTATCACCATTATAGTAACAGCTATACCTTGCATTCCTCCTCGTTGTTTGGTATCCTGTAATTCCTCCATCTCTTAGCCTTCAGGTATTCTTTGGGTAATTCGCAAGCGTAGCGATCTTTCACATTCTGGCTTTCTGACTGGTACAATCCACATCTCGAAATATCATTGGTTAACACGGCAATGTCCTTCCATGGGGTGGGGTGCCAATAAGGATAGTAGTCTCTCTCTTCAGGACATTCATAGCCACGCCTTGTTCCCCCAGGGTTTTGCCTGGTTGCAGTGGCAGATAGCCTCTTCAGCTTCTATCGGAATACAAAGAAAGACAGATTTCAGGAAAAAGTACTGTGTATAAATTAATTACAATAATTTGGTGTTAAATCAAGATAACAACTTTGAGCTGATAACTTAATTTTGAACATTCTTATAACCTGTTGGCTGAATAGTGTATGGATATTGTAGGGAGAAGATACATGTTAATAATTTGGGAGTTAAAGGATTAAGTGGATATCAGGTGGTGTAGGAGAAGGAAAGGGTGGGGGGGGGGGGGGTGAGAGCATGAGGCTCTCTCTTATATTCTCTTTCCTTTGCATTTCTCATTTCACTTCAGTCCTTACACCACAACTCATTATCAATGGCAGTTCAAAGGAGAGGGTTTGAGGGTCTGCACCCCCCCCTCCCATCAGACACATGAGTTTTTTACCACTAACCTGATGCCAAAAATTTGTGCAATGATAGAACTCTACATCTCTTTGTAATGCAAGGTCTTTAATTTATTATGCAATAATTCTTAGCTTATTCAGCCTATTACATAAAAAAGTTGCATTTTCTGAATCAAAGTTTGAACCCTTTCCATCAAAAATTCCTGGATCTTCTCCTTACAGGTATCTCCCTAAGGGTGATACAAGAAAGGACCCAGTCTCCCCTTTAGACAAATCAATAGTACAATAATCAAATGAAGATAAAAACAGCATTCATCTCTGCACATTACCTGATCAGCAGTAAAAAGACCTTTGTTTCGATCCCTGTATTTACAATCCATGTAATAATCATAGTCCTCATGCATTCCAAATCTGTCAGAGAAAAATTTAAGTAAAATTTATGCCAATCAAGCCAAGCGGCTCATCTGGTCAGAGCATATTGTAGTCTCTGTAGCAAGAGAAAACTCTAGGAGTATTTCTTTAACCCTTTCTCTCCCATGAGTGATCAAGACAGAACTTCTCCTTACAATTCCAACACAATATCAAACAGACAAGTGTTGAGAATAAAGAAAAATGGCAATTAGGGAATCATTGGTTGATCCAATACCAAATTCCCTGAGCTAACATCATAAGAATTGTATGGCAGATAGTAAGGAGAATTACTAATGAGATCTTGGGAGTGAGAGGGTGAGTCCCTTGGATGGATGCTAGTCCATTGCAGGTTACTACCCTTTCCCCCCCCCCCCCCTTAGTATTTTAACAGCCTTCCATCACTGACAGTTTTTCCATTTTTATCCTGGGTGGGGAGAGGTATTGTGAGAGGTAAGTGCTTTGCCCAAATGCAGACCTCCCAACCTGGAGTCCAGAGTGCTAACAAAAGGCCACTGCATCTCTCAAACAACAAAAAAACAACAACAACAACAAAGATTTTATTGGTCTCTTAATTGGGTCATAATACCATAGGCAGCAGCGCTAATAGAACACAGGCCAGGAGAATCAGAATAATAATCCAAAAAGTCAGTGGTAATATGTCACACATTCAGTGATGAACAGTAAGTCACAATTAGCAACCAATTAAGGCCACCGAAAAGACTGGAAATTTCACTACTCACCTAACATCACTGTTACAGTCATAATTCTGGCACAATGCAGGATTGTCTGGAATGGTTCTAGAAAATGAATTGACACAGGTACTTTAAAAAGAAGTCAGAACCCAAAGAGCCACACAATGAGATTATATAACTTACTGTGTAGTGATTCCATCACGTACATCATCCCCACACATGTACTGTAAAATCATATCACAATGGTTGTTAGGGTCTGCACAAGAATGTTGATTTGTCCTGAAATGAGTATCAACCAAATATCAATAAAATATCAACTTACACCCAAGTAGGAGGCAATCTATTTATGGGAGCAAATTTTTCATGGGTTAATGCACATGTACCATTCATGTTTTGCCTCCGTTTTAGATGTCAGAACACTCATAAATAAATTAGACTTTTGGTGCTGAGGTAGCTTAAGCACGCCTTTACCTACCTCTGCCTAAAAGTAACACTCTGGACCCCTCTCTATTTTCTTACTTTTTCTTGTAAATAACATGTTTAACTAAAGGAAAGGGTATTTTATTGTCATATGACTACAAAACTCCTAAAAATATTGGGCCTTTGGAGCTACAGTTGTAAACAGCTTAACCCTTTAACTCCCAAGATCTGATTGTTGGTTCTCCCCTCTAGCAGCCACCCATTTCTTTGTAAATTAGTAACGAGAATTTGTTGGATGAAGATGACAACTTCTACCTGATAAGTTTTAGTTTTCTTATGACCCGTTTATTGAATGAGGTGAGGATATCTTAGGGAGAAGTTACATGTTAATCACTTCTAGGAGTTAAAGAGTCAATATTTGTGTGTGCAGTGTAGGGCATCTGTCAAGTCTGATTTTTTTTCCAACTAAGACTTCGCCATCATCATCATAAATCTCATTGAAAAATAAATCTGTAATCTATCAAAGGATTCTCACCACTCAATAGACAGGACTGAGCCTTCATAGTAATATAACTTTCCAACATTGTATCCACCACGGTTATTGTTCTGTGAGTCAAATAACCTGTGCATGCAAACAGACACTTTTGAGATTAAAATATCAGCTGCTTAGTGATACACAAGCACAAAAGATAACCTGGTACAGAACACTGGAAAATCAAAAAAATGTTGAAAAAATTTCCAAAGTTTTAAATATTTATAATAATATTCATTACCTGTTTGCATTATTTCTCTCTCTCCGAGCTTCATTAAGACGATTGTTGCTTCCTCTAAACATTGGGTAACAAGAAAAAATTATTTTAGACTTAACTAAGGACGTAACTCAGTAGAATATTGATCTTCACGCAGATCAGAAAAAATTTTCCTAGCTTCACTTTCGTCACTATTTACTGCAACGTGTGAAAAACGTTACTGATAGTGCAAGATTTCTTTAAAAACACTTAACGTACGTATCTCCAGGAAATCTTGCTGTTAAACAGCCCAATTATTTTGGTATATTTTTGTCAAAATTTTACTTTGACGTTATATGCCAACTATTATCAAGTTTTTATCTATATCTTTCGAAAGTAAAATTTAGGGGTGTCATGTCATTAACAGTCGAAATATGTTCCAAACTAGGTGAGTATAGAGAAGGAAGAAAAATAAGAACTTTTCAACATCCTGATTTAAATTTCAAGTTGGTTGTTTTCACTTCCTTGTTTAAATTTCAAGTTGGCTGTTTTCACACAAACACATTAGACGAAACTAAAAAATTATCCCAAGCAACATCTTTAAAGTTAAACATTAACCGAAACTTTTAAAGATTTCAGCAATATAAAGACGTCTTCAACTTAGCACTGCAGTACAAATACGACGTAAAAGAGCAACTGTTTGAAAGAAAAACATCCAATTTAAAGAACAGTGGCATAATTCGAGTATGTCAAGAACTTGTCAAAGTGATAAACTCTTGTTAAGTATCCTCATTGAACTGCAGATTTACATTTCCTTTTCACAAATTAATCAAGATTGTGATTTTATAGCGGAGAAGATAAGAATTAAAGCACATTGAGCGTAAAAAAGATAAAACATTTTGATTTAAAACGAAATATTGGTTGATCTCACGGTTTGTTGATCAAGCGCACAAACGTGCTAAATTCATTAGCGCTCGACTCTTCGATGATTCTCCTTTACAAGCATGAAAATAGTTTCGGAAAAGTTGTCTCACCTTGGATTGTGCATATAAATGTCACCTGCGACTAAAGTCCCCAAACACGAGAAGAAGAGAAGGGAATTCATTTTCAGTTTTCTTTAAACACTCCGCGATGTCGCAGCTTATGTGTTCTGCAGCGGCGGTGTCCAGAGATTTCGAAATCAATTGTTATTTCCTCTGATGATATTACCAAATATGGGTATCTATTGACTTCCGGGGCATGACATCATGACGAAATTTAGTGAAGTCGCGTAACACAGGCCATCTTTAAGCCGGCAGTGCTGATACTAGGTGAACATTCTTGTGTAATAAAATTTGGCTCATAAATTTCATTACTTTCAGTCATTCAAAAATTAAATGAAATAACGGACTATGACCTAGTTGAAACACAAAGCCTTAATTTGTCCCTGAGCTGAGAGAGGAATGAAACAGGTGAACAGCATATGTCACGCAAAACGTGATGCTTTGAAAAAACAAACGATTTTGTTCAATCTACATCAGTTATATGTGGTACGGGTAGTATGCAAAAGCGAGGTTAAGTGGTGAGCTCTGTCAAAAAGTCAATAAAAATGTAAACTTGCCACTGCACAATCTACTCAATTTGTCATAAAAAAAAGATGTTGCTATGAGGAATGTATAAGGAATATTCTTGTTTTATAAATTTTTTTTAAATCTGATTTGTATTATCACTGCATTATTAAATCTGCATCTTGCAGCGTTTCAGTTTTATCACAGGCACCTCAGACACTGACCTCGAGAAAGGTAGATGAAGTAGATGTCACGTATATGTCACGCTAGACATAAGTACAGTTTGTGATCACGCAATCTACTTAAGTACCAGTAGATGTCTCGTGGTTCCAAAATGGCGGCCAGCACAGTGAGTATGCTTTCCAATTTCTTTTTTTTTGAGGTAAATCAATTACCAAAAATTATTTTTTCCTCGACGTTTACTGAATGGATATTTTTTTCGTTCCTGCAAAAAGTTGTAAAGGTAGCCAATTATTTTTTAATTTCGACCCAGTCTCGATCTTTCAATATTCAACGGTATTCAAACGAAGAAAGAACCGTGAACTTTTTTGACGATCAGGGATGAAACGATAAATATTTGGCTATTTATACGTATTTGGTGTAGTGTTCTTACAAGCATAACACAGCTTTCACTTACTTCGAACACCAGCTGGTGCAAATTTGTAATTTAATTTCATTACATGTCTTGTAGTAAAGCAACTAGAAATGGAGAACGACAAGACTACTTGTTAGTTTGATCAACAAACAAACCACATGACAAAGAAAGAAAGACCAGTTCCTTTTCATGTCTCCCTTCTGGTAAGGATATACTCAGGAATTGTATATTAACCTATAAACTTCAGTGAAGTGATTAACATGTAATTTCTCCACAAAATTCCCATATATTATACAGCAAACAGGTAATGAGAATATTAAAACTTATCAGGTAGAAGCTGTTATCTTGAATGAACACCAAATTTTCGTAACTGGGGGTTAAAGAAGAAGGTGAAGAAGGTGGTCTTGTGAAATTATGATTTACTCTACTGTTGGTCACTTTGTTAAGATTTACCCCTACCCCCAAAAGTATATGACTAGTCCCTTATTGTCACAGATCGATCCATTTTCACACCTCCTCTCTCTCTCCCAAAATGCTCATTGGGGTTGTAATACATAAGGAACCTCTGAGTAGAACATAACTGGAACCAACATGCTAAGAAACCACAAATAAGTGACCTATGCCAGTAGCCAGAAATTATGCAGCAAGGGTGTAAGCTCTCTAGGTTGGTGCACAAACAGTGAGGCTATGGGTGTTGAGCAGTAAGATGAAGACAGAAAAAAGAGGGTCTGGACCACATCTATACATATCAGGCAATGAAGGACTTTGTTGAATTGGGTGTTAATCTTTGGTAAAGGGGGGATTTAAAGGAAGAAGTGAATTGAAGCTCACCCAAGGCTTAGGGAATTGTTGGTGTGATGCAAAGTTCAGGGTTGTAAAAATGCATTTGAATAAAACATTGTATGGATTAGTTTGGAGTTTTGGGGCAGGAACTATATACTCCATATCTAAAATTTTGTAGAGTAACCACTCCTTTCTGCAGTGTTAAGTGGACTGAAGCCTAACGATGTTTATTCTTATGATGTTGTAGGCAGGAGGAGTGGCTGGAACTGCTGTTGATGTAATTTTGTTTCCCCTCGACACTCTGAAGACAAGGCTGCAGTCAGTAGAAGGTTTCGTCAAAGCTGGTGGCTTCAGAGGAATATATTCGGGGATTGCTTCTGCCGCAAGTGGTTCAGCTCCTGCAGGTGATGCATCTATGATTCTTTTCCCTGAACTCTGTCCTTTTGACCCTTCAACTCCCACAAGTGACTAAGACAGAATTATTCCTTTCAATATGGATATAAAATAAAGCAGGAGTGATGAGAATAAAGAAAAATATCAATTAGGGGATTATTACTTGATCCAATACCAATTTCCTTAACCCTTTTACTCCCACAAGTGACCAAGACAGAATTTCTCCTTACAATATCAATACAATATCAAGCAGGCAGGTGATGAGAATAGAGAAGAATATCAATCATGGGATTATTAATTGATCCAATACCAAATTCTCATAAGAATTGCATGGCAGACAGTAAGGAGAATAACTAACAAGATATTGGGGGTGAAAGGGTTAGGAAAATTAAATTCTTTACTAACTTTGGATTTGATGTTCATCTCTTTCAGCTGCTACATTTTTTTGTACATATGAACTGACCAAAAATGTACTCAAGCCAAGGACATCATCGACAATGTTCCCATTTGTACACATGTGTGCGGCAACTCTTGGCGAAGTCGTAAGTTATCATTAGCCCTTTAACTCTTAAACTCCCAAGATCTCATTAGTAATTCTCCTTACTGTCTACTGTAGAGTTCTTGTAATGTTAGTTTTGGGAATTTGGTTTTGGATCAACTAATAATCTCCTGATTGACATTTTTCTTTTTCTTATTACGTGTTTGCTTGATATTGCATTAATATTGTAAGGAGAAATTCTGTCTTGGTCACTCATGGGAGTTTAAGGGTTAAATCTCCCTTAACCCTTGAAAAGGTGAACAAAGATCCAACCTGTGAGAGTGCCACAGCTGATTTCTAAACTTCAATCCAATACAGTATCTTCTTTTTTTACATTTAAATTCATACCTAAGTAAAAAATCATTCTATTTATGTGACAGGTATCACTTTTTGTGAGAAATCCATTTGAAGTTGTGAAACAGAGAGCTCAAGCTTACACCCATATGAACAGTGTTCAAGCTCTGAAGTACACACTTGTACAAGAGGTACCCTGTACATACCAGCAAAAAATTTACATTTAGAAAGTATTTGCCATATTGTATGCTTGGACACTTAAAATCATGTTGATGCATCTGTCTTTTTTGAGTCAATAATTGAATATCCATTTATTAAAAGTTAATGTAAAATAAGATAAAATTATTATCCTTTAATGATTAATGATGCTCATTTTGGTAAACTGCTTTCTAGGGTGTTCGTGGTTTGTACAGAGGTTACTGGAACACACTAATGAGAGAGGTACTGTGCCATACAATCCACTGTCCTTTAATTATTTAGAAGGACTTGGATCTGTGAAAACTAGACTTTTCTTTGTCAATTCTGCTCTATAGGGAAATTCCTGAAATGAAATCAGAGTAAAATCTGAATCATTTTCATTATTGGTACATCATTATTGTATGTGAAAATGAGAAAATGAAGATAATTTCAAACATTCTGAGATTTACACTGTGAGGTACTATTTTTCATGTCTCTGATTGGATGAACAATGTATTTTCACAGTTGTTCACTTTCAATCTCTGAAATATGTCACTCGGTAAGAAAATACCTCAGTTTATATGATATTAAAACATCATACCATGAAAAATGCTTGAACCATTTTTATTCATGAGTTGGGATGCATCAAAAAACTCTCGTTCGCTGTGTTCACTTCTTTTTTTTTATGCATTGCAATGTGTGAAGAAAAATTGTTTGTGCGCATTTTCTATGGAATAATCTTTATTTTTTATCAAAACCCACACCTTATTTATTTTCTTCAGATACCATTTTCACTGATACAGTATCCGTTATGGGAATTGTTTAAGGTGAGGATCTCAACAACTGGACATAAATGTAAACAACAAACTAAATAGAGAAAGATGTTTTTTGTCTTGTCACAAGCGTGGGACAAAGAAAAAATTCTGAGCCCCCGTGAGGAATTGAGCCTCAGACTTTCGGATTCCACACTCCGTTTAATTTATTTTTTATGATGCCTTACTCTCGTCAGAGTGTCTGGTCATGGGAACAAGGCTATCCAGTTTGGGCGTGGCAATCAAGTATTTGTGGTGCAGTTTCAGGTAAAAAAAAAAGAAATTAATGTTTACGTGGCTGCCCGAGTTTGTTCTGACTACAGAGGGTTAAATAACATGTTCCAGGCATTCAGTTAGGAAAACGGAACAAAAAGTAAACGGCGCGATAAAAGTGGTAGAACGCGACTCGACTCAAACCTCCTTCGTTTTCACTCCTCCGCTACAATCGCACCGTTCCGCAACGCTATTCGCAGCCATAAATCCCTTTAAGGTGGATAGTGCATGACGTCTTGTTCACAATTATCGTTTGAATAGTGATTTATCCGTTGAACACCCGCCCTCTGAACAAATGGGCCTTAGAAGCTACAGTGTAGAACTCTCCTTGAAAACTAAATACGATCACTCATGTTTTCGTGAAGTTTTTTTCCGGTTCCACACAGTTAGATTTAGTTCTTATAGGTGATTGCTTTATTTGTGGCTTTGCGACACTCAGTTTGCGTTTTACAATCACCCTATCTTAGTCTCTTAATTACCAAATATTTTCTCTTATTGCATTCTTCAGGTGGATTTGGAGCTGCCGTTACGACGCCTTTAGATGTTGCAAAAACAAGAGTTATGCTTGCACCGGTATAAGAAATTATATTTCAAAATTGCTCGTGTATGCCTTGTCAAAAGTAATCCACACTTGCGACTCAGTTTCAAAGGGTTTACTTCTCTATGTTCTATGATTGGTCAAGGAATTCGCGCCACCCACCCAACCAATCAGATTTAAAACTAAAGCCAATCGCGTCTTGGTAACTCACGTTTTCCTGCGCTTTAGACAGTTTGCTTATTTATGAGTTTTCATTGGCTCCTTGAGATATTTTTCAGCCAATCAGATTCAAAACTAAAGCCAACTAAGGTTTGTTCACTCAAGTTTTCCTGCTCTTGAGGTAGTTTGCTTGTTTTGTCCTTCGTTCTCATTGGCTCCTTGAGATGTTTCTCTAAAATCTGATTGATCGTTGTGGTTTCTTAAGTTTACGGATTTAGACAAAAGGATACAGGAATCGGAAACGGAGCAAAGCTGACTAAAGTGTCGTTGCAGGCCTTCAGCAAACTCTGGGAACTTTTTGCCTTATGTACAGTACTTTGCTGAATTAGAATGTACAAGAGTGGTGGCCCTTTGCTAGGAATATTCCTCCGAGACAAATATCTACCTTTTTTCTGTTAGTCAGTCTTGCCAAATGTGAAGAGCAAAAATATTAGTCAAAGACTGCAACATATTTTTATTCTTCTTTAACAGAAAGATTCTTTGTACACTCAAGCAAGTGTGACACAAGTGATAATTTTAATCAAATCTCAGGAAGGATTTGCAGGGTAAGGTTACTTTGTACGTACTTACTTGTAGGTCTCATACATGATCTCGTCCAAAGTTCTGTTTTTAAATTTAAGCTCGCCAAAGCGTAGGTAATCTCAAAATTTCTGGATTTTATTATATGAAAACAATGCTGCTTTTATTTTCTGTAGTAATGAAGTGCTGTGGTATCTTATTCTATACGAAATCCGAAATGAGCGGCGGTCGCAGAGGTTATCACAGAGGTTAACCCTGGGGTTGCCCGCTATAGAGTAGCATCACATCCCTGCATTAAGGAGCCAGTATGCTCTTAATACTAAAAAACTATTTTTTTTTTCGTCTTCACAGCTTATTTGCCGGGGTTACAATGCGAACGACGTGGATTTCTCTTGGAGGAGCAGTGTTCTTTGGTTTTTACGAGAAAGCTAAACAAGTTCTTATGAATAAGATTGAAAGCTGACTAATATTTTGTACCTTTGTCGCACTGAAAATCTACAAAAAATAAATGCAACAAGGCAGCTTTTTTAAAATGTTTTTTAACAATATAACCAAGAGCGGTCTAAGTGTAAAAAGTTTATGAATCTGAACTCACATTTGAAGCCCTAGCGATGCAGGGAATTTGAGAAATGGCAAGTTTCCAATTTGTTTTCACTCTCTGTTTTGTAGCTCAGACAAGTATTTCCTCAATGTTTTCTAATCGCCGCTTTGAAATCTCGTTATTTATTCTTCTAATGAACAATGTCGAGTTTACTGTCATTTGTTTCTTTTCTCTGAGAATGAATCACAAGGCAGTTCAAAACTTTTACAAAGCGTCTCAGTTGATAACCATGCACGTCAGCGTCCATTTAATTCGCAAAACAGATTCTCTCACTTCGGTAACGATGAGCGCTATTCGTTTTCGTTTCGTAAAAGCAAAATCAAATGTCATCACAATGGCTTATCAAAACAAAAAAGGAATACACCACAGAAAGCTGATGAAAACTCAACGTTAAAACAAGCAACCACTTGAAGTGCGAGAAAACGTAAGCGACTAAGGCGCGGTTGGTTTTAGATTGCAACTGATTGGTTGAGAAAAGGATACCAGTTTTAAGGAAGTATTGCAAAATCAATGGAATCCCCCATTACTTGCGATACAACTGAAAATTGCTCTTTCAAAACAAGTATTGAAAGTTTCGTAAATTTTATAAGCGAACGTCAAAGTTGAGATGCAATGAAATGAGTATTTTGATACTTTTTGTGGAAAACAAGAGAAATAAAAGCCCATGTAACGTTAATCAGAATTACAATAAACTCATATTATTAAAAAGCCATAAATGCATCGTTGTCCTTTTATTTAGGATGCATGTACAAAAAACAACTTTTTTTCAATAAGTCATGACTGAAACTGTTTCACACTCGACAGTAATTAAATCGCATACCTTCAAACGAATGCATATATTAAGCGCAACTATATATACTTCATGTACGTGTAAAAACCTGCTCACTCGAGGAAGTTTTGGAAGTTATTGTTATGGTGGTTTTAAATCCGATTTGTTTCCGATCAATTGCTCGGAAATGTCGACTGAGCACACGTGACAAACTCACCATCAACGTAAAGCAAAATTCAACGGAGAAATGATCTCTGAATCAAAGACAAACTTATCACAACGCCTCAAAGGAAAAACATAAAATAATTCCTTTTAGCTGAAAAAAGATCACAAGGAGTCGATAGGAACTGGAATTACAAACTTGTGACCGTCCTCTAAAGAGAGAAAACACACGTGACCAAGTCGCCGTTGGTTTAATTTTTGTTTGTGATTGGTTGATAGAGTGGCGTGAGTTTTCTAAGCCAATCACAGTACGAAGTGGAACAAAACCAGTACAATCTACGATTGCTTCGAAATTCAGTTGAAAATTCCACTAAGGTAGAGACTTCCTGTAGACAAACGATTTCTCTATGGATCGCAACGACCATTTTGCAAATAAATAATAGTATAATAGCTCTTCAGGCGTTCTTTAAGTTCTGCTCTTCGGTCGGTCACCGCTGTCACTTGAGAGAATCGAGTTCTGTGAATGAGCGCGTGGATTCGATTCTCTCATAGAAGCCCTAGCAAGAGAATCATTTAAGCTCTGTCCCTGCATATCTTGATCATCTTCCAGAGTCACGCTCTGTTGTGACCGCCTGCCATGCCGTTTCAGCTTACTTGAATCATTTCTTTGTGAACTCTGTTGACTCTGAGCGCGGCGCTCTTCGTTACCTGGTGTGCAAGTGCTTCGGTGCGTACTTTGTGCACTATCCGGTCTCGCGTTCTCGGAATTCTCGTCGTCAAGTATCGCTAACATAGCGGTTTCATCTTCCTCTTGGATCATTTCCTCTCCTGGTCTGGCGGAAGAAAGAGCCGACATGACACTTTCCGACACTGTTGTACTTCTTGAAGTTGTTCGTGAGCTTACATCAATAAGCCTGGCCAGGATCTCTTCGGACAAACCAGCCTGAAATACGAATATAAAAACCCTGGTCATATCTCAAGTACATGTCAAAAGGAACTCGCGATTACATCAGTTTTGCCTCGTGTCTCTGTGATTAAACCAAAAAAAATTGCGCCATTCTCTAACCTAATCAGTTGCAAAACTTAAAACACTCGTGACTTTGTCTACCGCGTTTCCCCGCGCTTTAGCTATGTGATTGGTCGAAAAAACACAGATCCAAAATCTCAACCAATCACGACTTAATAGCGTATGTTTTCCCGCGCTTGAAAACGGTTACATATTAACTTTGAGTTTTCATTGGCTTCGTGTGACATTTTCCTTTTCTTCTGGTTGACCAATGTGATTACAGACTTTGATTCTGGATCAACGAAAATCAATCGAAATGCTTTCTATATTTCTAGGGGAGTGGACTGCGCCAGGATTAACCGTCCAAATCAAATTTTTCAGTAACTTTTACTGACCTCAGATTCATTACCAGTCTCTCGGTACAAAGTCTGAAGCTCAGCTTCGATAGCAAGCAGTCTCGATTTCATGTCCCTCATTTCTTTTTCTTCTCTAAGAATCCTTTCTCCCAGTCCTAAATAATAACAATTTGTAAATAACTGAAGTATAGAAATAATTTCAATTAATACTCGACAAAATAAAAAAACAGTTTTGTAAAAGGAATAGACCACTATAAGAACAATTTTTCATCGAGTGTTGAAAGCAAAGCGGAATTCTATTGGTTTCGCTTTCTTCGCTCAATGATTGGCCCAGAGAACTCATGCCATCCTCTTAACCAATCAGACGCTGAAATAAAACCAATCATGATGTGGTCACATGCATCTTCCCGCGCTTAAGACGTTTACTTAGTTGCACTACGAGCTGTCAAGCGGCAACACGGTCTGGTTGTTTTCTCCTTCTCTTCTGATTTGTCGAGGTGAATACCCTAGTTTTAATTTCGCGACATTCAGTGAAAATGATCCCTGTGGGTCGACACTTTTCAAAATCATACGAAATATATATCATAAACAAGGGAAACATACTTACCAATGGTGTCTGTACTTATCTCACTTGAACTGTCCTGGGAGTCAGTAAAAAATAATATTAGTACTCAAAAAGCAGAAAATATCACTTATATTTTTAGGAAAAATCTTCCTCCTTAAAATCTTAGTGTGGAAAATTTTGGTATCAAAAAACTACAAAACAGAAGAAGTCGTACAAAGTATCCGTAAGAGCAGTAGGATTGAGCAGCATTTAAGAAACAGTAATAAAAACAAGAAGGGACATAGACGACTAAGGATGATAGATAATTCGGTTTTGTCTACAGAATTGATAATGTAAATTGGTCACCGTAAGTCGTTTCTAAAGCTGACATTTCAAACGCTAGCCCTTTATCAGAGCGAAGCGGTAACCAAGGGCTAACGCTCGAAACGTCAGCTTAGAAACCTTTACGGTCGCCAATTTACGTTATCAACTCAGTTGATAATACCCTGTCGTACTCTCCCACCGACGTAGCACCACAGTTTCTTTAGAAACCTACTCTCTTTATTAAGGGAGGAAGATACCGACAAGGATTGAGAATTTTGGAAGTTTAAAACTTTTAGTTAGATTTTTCAGGATGAACAGTCCGTAACCCAAAAAACAAACAAACAAATAAAACTTCTCACTGTCTGTGGTGTATGATCCAGCTGTTTGTGAGGCTCCCAATTCTCTTGGTTTGCTAATAAGTCGATTTCTTCTTGAGGTACAAGTTCCTGAAGTTTACTGGAGAATCAGGAGAAAAGGTGTAGTTAACTAGAATAAGTAACAGCTTTTCGACAAGTAAAAAGCGAAGTTAATTAGGGATAGACGTTATTGATTTGTACCGAGCGTGACGCAAAGAAAAACTTTGAGTATCCCACGTACATTCAAACCTCTAAGCTGTTCCAGGCGTTCAGTAAGTACAACAAGGTGCGATTGTAAACTGCGGTGATTACAGCGGAGGATTTAAAAAAACGGAGGAGTTTTAAGTCGCTTTTTCACTCCACCGTTACTATCACGCACTTTCCTATTTTGCTCCGTTTCACTTAATGAATGCCTTGAACAAGCTATCGATCCGCAAACTTCAAGGTTTCTCAGTCTGATGTTCTACCACTGTGCTAAAGAGAACTCCGACACCGAACAACGCACCGTTGTCAGAACTACTTCTCGAGCTTTCAGCCTTTAACTCCCAGAAGTGATCAATGTCAAACTTCTCCCTATAATATTCTTACACTATCCAGCAAATAGCTAATGAGGATATTTAAACTTATCAGGTACAAGTTGTTATCTTGATCTAACACCACATTCTCAAAACTAATTTACAAGGAAATGTGTAGCAGCTACAGGGGAGAATTACCCAATCAAATCGTAAGGGTTAAGGGTTAAAAGCACCAACAAAAATTTTCAAGGAGTGAATGTGTAAGCTACGTAGTTGACCGTTTTTTTTTGTTTTTTTGGCCGTTCGATGGCTTTCCTTGTGACTCGCGGCTAAAAGACTAAAAGCAGTCCCTCTTTTAGGGCGAAGTCCGTCGCGCGAGAAAAAAAAAAATCAGTGAAAATAAAATTAATGATAGCGCGTCACGTGGAACTCTGGGAGTTAGTCGCAAGAAAAGTTCGGCGCGGTGAGTTAACATGGATTTTTCTACGCTGATTTTCTTTTTTTTTTGCTGGTTAACTCACGCGACGGACTTTGCCGGAAAGGAAGGACTGCTCGTAATCTCTGACTTCCCTGTTCATCGCTTCAAAATGCCCATCAAAACCGCTAGCTGTGCAGGGCAAAGGATCTGTGGAAGTTCTAACCTGTCTATTTCGGCGAGTGAAGCTTTTGACTCACAATCCAGGGTAAAACCTTCACCTGCTGTTAGTGAAAGTCCTTCTGAGTACGCATTCTGTTTGACGAAATACAGAAAGTCATGAAAGAAAACATTTTAAAGCACATTTTAACCAAGTGTTGTTGAACAATACTAGAGTAATTGCAACGACCAATAAGAACATACGTGCAAAAGGAGCCAATGAAAACTCAAGATAAATCCACGTGACCGGCCTTAAGAGCTAAAGCGCGGGAAAATGACCAAGTCATGGCTGTTTGCAGTGTGGCATTTAATTCGTTAAAAGCATAGCGCGAGACTTGTGGACCAAAGCGAATGAAACAAATTTTTTAGAGCGCGTTTGATTATAAAGCGTCGAAAAAGCAAAACAAAGTGTAATCACAACGCAAAATCAGGACAAAGGTAAATAATACAAAAAGCCATTGAGCATTTAAACTAAAAAAAGGAAGCTCCCTGAAGCGCGGGAAAACGTGGGTGCCCAAGTCGCAGTTGGTTTAAATCTTGTATCTCATTGGTTAAGAGGACGACGGCGAGAGTTTCCTATCCCAATCACAGAGCGCAGTGAAGTAACACTGGGAAAAGGCTAAATTACTTGTGACATTATACAGAAAATTGCTTGAGGCAAACCTCCACCATTAGAAGATCTGTTTCATCCGAGAGTAGTTCATCTAAACGTTTTTTCTCCGCTTCTGTCATGGGGATCAGATTCCCAGCATCAGCAGCCAACTGAAACAAAGTTACGTAATATATACTTAGCTGAGCTGATGTAGTGTTAAATTCTTACACCTCATTACAGGAAATTCAAAACAATCGGTCGGGAGAATAACTATTTTAGAAACAAAAATAAAACGAAATATGTAAATCACATTATACCTCGATGTTTCGCTTGACAAAGTTCTGTTCTTTTCTTTTAGTTTTGGAAGATTGTTTGCTCCCTCTCCTCTTGGGCGTTCTTTTGGAGCCTTTGTTTTCTACATCGTCAATATCTTGTTCTGTCCATGAATCACAGCTGGAGGTAACACCTGCAAAGGGAAACGCACACGCTTACTCTTTGGCAACGACTTCACTAGAGCGCATTCCGATTGTGTGTCGCAAAAGGAAAACCAAAGTAATCACAAGAACCAATCAGAGCGAAGGAAGATATCCCAAACAGCCAATGAGAATTTTCAGTAAAATCAAGCCAACTGCCTGAAGCGCGGGAAAACGCAAGTGACCAAGTCGCGATTGGTATTACTTTTGAATCTGATTAGTTGGGAAAATGGCGTGAGTTTTCTGAACCAATTATAGAGCGAAGAATTTCGCTTATTGCAAAGACTAAGGCAAAGGTTCTTAGAAGTGTGGTCTGGTCTTTGTCCGAGTCTTCGTAGCTTTCCGTCAGCATATCGCTGCCAAATTACTCTCCGACCTAAACAAAGAAGCACTTAAGAAAAAGACAAAAAATTGCTGGCCTACCTCTGTCAGAGGGAGAAGAGCTGTGCTTTCGTTCATCAGCGAGAGGTTGTGTGGCAAACAACGGTGTAAGAGGTGGCTCCTCTTCATCTGCTTTGAATAAATACAGAGTTAGTGATAACTAAAACCAGGCTCTTATGTAATAAACATCCTGTAAACTTTTCAGGATCAGAAACCTCAATGAGAAAGATTCTCAAGTCACAATAACAGTTTTTAAACATTGATAAGACATCTATTCGATAGCTCAAGCCACGAGTTTCTCCACCCGCGAGAAGGGAAAGGACAAGTCGGAGATAAGTTTACTAGGGGTCTGGTACTAATTATAGGTACTAGACCTCTCGCAGACCACTCGCCAGATACCGTTGCTCAAACAAGTCAGTCCGGCCCAAAACAAGTTCATGCCTGCGAACACTACCTCTGTTGTTTTAGTAAACGATTATTCATAACTGTTACCTGGGATGTAGTCATCAGTGGGCGGACCGAGGGCCAGTGCATGGCTGACACCCAAGTCAATTTTACCATGACCTTCTTGTTCTCGTTGTTGGTCCAGTTGATTTAACTCCTCTCTCCACTTCTTTTCCAGTTGTCTTCTATGAATCTTGACCTCTTTTTCTTTCTGTGAATGTTTTTAAGAAAGCTTAGTAAGGTTGACAACACTTCTTTTTGAAGTAAAGGGAAGAAACAGCGGCATAACTGTCAAATTCATTGACCCCAGTAAACGTTTGAAGTTGTCCTTCAGCGGAATTCTGATTAAAAGATTAAAATGACGATTCAATCGAGGCCATGAGCTACTGCATTTTTTTTAATTCCCAAGCATTCGCCGATCTACGGCACCGTCAGGGAATGATAAGAACCCAACCAGGGTTTTAGCTCTGAGCAGGTCTTTGCAAAACTCTTGAAAGGCTTCTTTCCAGCAGGAGTAGGAGTGGGTACCAGTAAACATGGAAAAAAGCTGTAAGAGACTTGTAACAGACATACCAAGCGTTGACGGTTTTTGGTCGCTATGGATTCTGGGAAAATTTTCCCAACTAAACTTGCAGTGTAAATCACCAATTTGGTGACCTGTGTTCGGTGGTCATGATTACCAAGTTGTAACATTCTTATAATTTAGTTTTTATGGTCTGAAGTCAAAGTGACGAGGACATTTTCAAAACTGTCACAGATGTTTCTTTTAGATGCAATCTCTTTTGAAAAACTTTTGTACAACAAAAATCTTTTTCTGGTAATCATTTTAAATTTTAGATCTAATGGCGACTTTGAAAACAAATTGAGCTTGGAACACTAAGACTGCGGTATTTTCTTTCCAAATTGTCACGTTCCTTTTTTTGAAACAAAGCAAGAAGTAGGCAAGAGCAAAGAAGACAAATAAAAATTAAGTACAGGTATATGGCAAAAATCAAAGACTCACCTTCAGTTTATCAGCAAGAATTGCATCCAGTTTCCTTATCCTCTCAAGTCCTTTTCTAACTTTTGGATCCAGATTTGCTTCAAAATCCTCCTCATCTTGGGACACGCCCTGTTTGACTACGTGACCACTCCTCTCTGATGCACTCTCCTCTGTTTTTATGAATATATAAATAAAGGAACAACTGAAAGTAAATAATGAAGTTATGTATTGTGCAAATAGACCACAATGTCCTTCCATCCAACTCTATCTCAGTTCCTCTGGTTCCACTGCCATGGGAGCAGGGGGGCAGGCTGGACACAGCAGAAGATTCTGGATACCACAATTACCCACTTTCCATTTAAACAGGGCAGATCTTACGGAAAATTCTTCCTCAAATTTTAATTCACTAGCAAGCAGGCAAGTAGAGAGAATTAAGCAACCTATCAACTTGCGGATACAAATAACCAATAAAGAAATGCATGAGGATCATTTTGGAGAATAAACTTTTGGATCTCTTAGCCCTTTTACCCTTTAACTCCCATGAGTAACCAAGACAATTTCTCCATACAGTATCAATACAATGTCAACCAGATAAGTGATGAGAACAAAGAAAAATATCAATTTGGGGATAATTAGTTGATCCAATACTAAATTCTCTAAACTAACACTATAAGAATTGAATGGTTGACTGTAAGGAGAATTTCAAATTTGATCTGGGAGTTAAAGGGTTAGCCCCCGTGAGTGACGAAGACAGAATTTCTCCTTAAAATATCAATACAATATCAACCAGATAAATGATGAGAATAGAGAAAAATATCAAATTGGTGATAATTAGTTGATCCAATACTAAATTCTCTGAACTAAAATTGTAAGAACTGTATGGTTGACAATAAGGACAATGACAAATTTGATCTGGGAGTTACAGGGTTAATTGACAGATTTACCTGATTGATCATCTTCCTGATCATCTACCACTTCCTCTTCTACACTGCTGTTTGCTGTAGCAGTTCTTTCTGGGACGTCTTCTAAAATAACATCATTTTCAACAGGAGATATGATCTGCAGGAGTATTAAGAACAACAATTCTTCCATGCAAACAAATTTTAATGTTTTTTGATGTTCTTGATGATAAGTTAAAACATTAAAAAAATTACTTTTCAGGAACCTGTTCACAAGTTGATCTCTTGAACAGAGTGCTCAGAGCAAGAATTGTTAGGTTCTTACCCAGAATTTGCTGGCTATTTGTCAATAGCCTGAACAAGATTTTATTCAGATGTAGAGAATATTCTCCTGTTTAACCTACAGGTGTAACAGCATTCTCCCTCTGCTACAATTCTTTACACAAACCTTGTTAAAAGAGTTATAAAATTAATGAAACTTACTGAGTCTTCCTCAGAGTCAAGATGATCAACATCTTCATCTAAGGTGTTTGTGACAGCTGAAAGCAACATATTGAAAACTGTTTACTATTATGTATTGTGAAAGATAATAACTATTATCAAGTGAGTAGCAAAGGCATACTTGGAAAAAATAATCCAGAGTAATGTGGACACTCTGGTAATTGATTAAAATGAATTTTTAAGGTCTGCATATAAGAAATAAATGAAAGTTCTATCTCAAAATGACATGAAGTTTCTTCCAAGCTTACCTTCAGGAGGGAGCTCTTCTAGAAAGCCTCTCATTTGACCATGTTTCTATTACAATGTAGAAAAACAATGAATGGTTAATATATGGGAATTCCAGTCAATTGGTAAATTCAACAGGAAAAATTATCTGTCATAAAATGTGAAAATCTGGTTGGGAAAAAATGACTGGTCAATTCTTCTTTGACACTGGCTTAAAGTTCATCTTCAGTTGTAATATATAAATGCATGGGTTTTGATAAACCAAAATATGTTATCACACCAGTCACAAGGGTGGGACAAGGAAAACAACTAAGGTCCACCAAAAGGAATCAAACCCCGGACCTTGGCATTTCACTCTACAATGCAACAAGGGAAGCAGGGATGGCACAGTGGTGAAAGCACTTGCATCCCACCACTGTCAGGCCCAGGTTCGATTCTTGGATCTGGCATCACATTTGGGGTGAGTTTGTTGTTGGTTCTCCTCCTTTCCCCAAACTTATATCCAGAGGGCAAGGAAGAAGCTGAGCATTCTTTGCCACCTCTCTTAGTTTGTTAACTGTTTAACCCCTTGAAGTTGCCAGCTTCTATTTTCTCCTTACAATATCACCCCGGAATCAAACATTAAGGTCACGAGAATAAAGGAAATGATCACTAACTAAATGTTACAAAATAACAATGTATTTATAGTATTTCGAATTTAGAGTTTGTTAGAATGGAAAGGCCTCATTGGAAACTTACTTGAGGTAAGTTTTGATCTCTAGATCTTGTAGTATCACAACTTGCAGGTCTACTTATAGACTCCAAACTTGAAAATAAAGAGAAAACAATGAACAATGAAATGAGATGCATACATGGTTAAATCTTGAACCAGTTAAAACATACTTGTCAGTGTTATATTATAACTACTTTTTTTTTTTAAGCAAATCACACATCAGAAAAGACAACTTAACTGAAAGAAAGAATAATGACAACTAACCTTCCTTCCGAGACAATTTCCATGACAACTTCGTTGCAAGTTATCCAGAACGCAAATTCCAAACTGGAATGGCACTCTTCTTTAAACGCAAGCAGCCGTTTCTCATCTTTCTATCCACAAACAATGGTAAAATTCTTACAAAAGTGAGATAAAATATTCTTTAGACGACAGGAGTTCCCTGATCTCTTCCAGAAATATCGCAAAGATGCAGCAATAATTTCAGGTCCATCGTAAACAAACTCGCGGCTGCTAAGTCGCCATTTTGAATTAAAGGCGAGGTTCCCAAGCTATAGTCAGTTTCCTCAGAGAGGACAACATGTCGCTCTACGATGGAGTCGACATCGACGGTGTGCCAATGCAATCAACTGCCACGGAAGGAACCGACATTACCAAGCTTTGTAAGTTATCTTATGGTTTATTTTACTTCAAGGTGTAGTCTTTTGCAGCTAACCGGCAATTAATATAAATCTGTAGCATTCGTAAACACAACTCTGTTGAGCGAAAGTGATTCAGATTTGAATAACTCGTGAGTCATGATCATACAGTTCGATTTGATAAATGGAAACTTTAGAACAAAGGCATATCATTTGGACTACGTACTGGCTGATAAGGAAAGCACAGACACGTTTTTGTTGCTCCAGACTGGAAATTGATACGCCATAAACGCGCGGAGGTCAGGGAAGGTAACAGAGATCAATACTTGGGTTCCCCCCCTATCTCAGGTTGAACGAGTGTTATAATTACATTTAACTGAATGGTGTGTTATCTTGATTTTACCTTGATATAACAGAAAATTCTCAAAACTAATTTAAAAGGATGTTTATGGCAGCGAGAAGAGAAAATAACTGATAAGTTCTTGAGAAATAAAGAGATAAAATTTCTTGCAGCTGGCTGGTCCTCCAGTTACAAACTTCTACAGACTCAGCTACAAAGAAAGAAAGTTGCTCAAACAAGACCATTACCAACATCTGTAAGTTGTTTAAATGCTAACAATCAAACCCTTTAAAACTTCCTCTCTCCTTGTGGCACAGTCTTTGATTCCTGTTATGTTCTTGAATCAATCTATCAACGTTTGGTTTTGGCAACACAACTGGGGTGACCAGAAACAATTTTCCTATGCTTCTGTCTCAAAGAAAGAAATCCTGAAGTTGTGAACAAATCTATCAAGGATTTACCGAGGCTGTCCCCAAAAACTGTTTGACTGAATTTCCCAATAACATTGACATAATATATCAGCAATCTTTTGGTCAATATGTGTGAGAATTGTTTGAGTACGTAGAGGGGAAGTTTGTTTTTGAGCACTCTGAAGATAGCTGGTTGGAGTGTTTGAAAACTGTTTTTAGCCATTTCAAGGTTGATGAAGTTTGTTGTTCAGTCCTTCCACTTCCATTGTGAAATTCTACACTTTGATTAAAAGTCTCCTTATCACAATTAAGTTTCTTCTTCTGATTTTTGATTTGTAAATATGCTTTGTGTTACAGCGAACAAAGGCTGTAAATCAAGTGGTCCTGGGCATCAAGAGAACAGTTGATGATTTGGAGGTTATTGTAATGTTTTTTTTTGTTTTCTTCTTACATGCATCTTGCTAACTGATTTTGAGGTTTATGATGCAAGTTATGGTCCATGTTTTTTTCTGCTTGGATTTTATGGCTCATTGTTTTAATTTTTTCTCTTGTTCTTTGTAGGATTCTACAGCATCAGATATTGATGGTAGAGAAATGCTGGTAAGCTTTATACCTCTCATACCTCTTTCTAATCATTTGCTAGTGCTGTACTATAGGTTATGGACTGAGTTTTTGCCCCTTTAATTTATGGTGCAAAGGCACAGGTCATAAATAGTCAAGGAAAAAGAAGATCTGTAACGTATCTTACAGTGCAAGAGGACAAGGTTAATATGATGTTAGTTGTGTGGCTGCTGTGTGTACAACAGATTCCAGGAAACAATTTTTGGTCATAGTAAGAGCTTCAAATTGACTGATGATCATTGAAGAGAGGCAAGGTGGAGAATCCTTGTAAAGTTGTCAAAACATTCTTATATCCAGTTGAAAGATATTAACCTTCATTAGCCAGTGAGCCCTATGTCAAATTGTCAATGAATAATGATTTTTATTAAGTTTAGTAGGCCTTGCAAAGGAGTAATGCCAGCTTCTATCATATTAATTCTTTTCTCAACCCTTGAATTCCCTGAAGTGATTAACATGTAAGCTCTCCCTATAATATCCATATAATATCCAGTAAACAGGTAATGAGGAAGTTTTTATCTTGATCTAACACCAAATTCTCATAACTCAGTACCAAGAAATTGTGTAGCAGTTAGAGGGGTGAATCAACAATCAGATCTTGGGATTTAAAGGGTTAAAACATCTCTATCTAACTCTATACTTACAAATTTTGATCTTGACTTTGATAGAGATATTTAAAACCATACTTCAAAAACTCATTAATAATTCATAAGCCCATTAACCTATCAAATGGTAGATAATACATCACGTGCAGTGACTTTATATCGATAAACCTCATCCTTATTAGTATGCGGTGTTTTATCAGATATAAAGACACTGCACATGACTTATGAATATCAATTAATTATCAACACAGAAACTGACACAACAAATGGTGGGAACATATTTAATGTTCTTTCAACAAATTTCACACAGTAAATTTACTTTTGCACCAAATTAATAGTACAGTTGTGAAATACACATCTGGAAAAATTCTCTATTCCATTAGTACAGTAATCTGGTAAAGGCATATTAGACAATACATCATCTGAAACTTCGAATTCAAGATCATGTTTTTCTCGTATGCTAATTTCTAACGTTCACAAAAGCATAATTGTTATGAACTCTCTTGACACGCGCTTTTCCAAGAGTGTTTTTGAAGCCGTTCAAAAAACTTGCAGCACATGTTTTATCGGGTCAAAAACCACTCGGCTACGCCTCATGGTTTTAAACCCGATAAAACACTCCTGCTCGTTTTTTAAACATTACATAATGTGATCATCTTTTCATTTATTTTGCAAGGATACTGACCTCCAAAAGGTCCCAGAACCCTTCACAGAGACAGAAGCCTCACTTGCTGTTGTCATCGATGAATATGATCCTTTAAGACCAAATGAATATGAGTTGGTCAAACAAAAGTTCAGAGAAGAGAAAGAAAATGAGAGAGGAGACAGAGGTGAAAGGTCAGAGAGGACAGACAATCGAGAAAGATCACGAGGTGACCGTGATTATGATAGAGGAGAGAGGTAAGGTGGTATTCCAACCAACAGTGCTTCTCTGTGGAAAGAAGTTAAAATGATTCCAGGTGAAAATGATTTCAAACTAGATTGAATTGTATTTCCTTGTGGTCAAGGATTGTGGTTATTTAACTGGAACAAAATAGTTAATAAATCAATATAGATTCAAATAACTTTCAATTAAAAAAAAAATTAGATTCAGTTTAAACTACAACACCTACTGGTAGGTTAATAAATATATATACAGTGCAAGTGTATGCAAGACTTTTGGCTCGCTCTTCAAACTTTCCTGCAGATGAAGAAAGACTTGTACAGTAGCACAAGAGCATGCTTTCAGGCTACTAACCAACATACACTTTTTCTTGAAAGACACAGAGATCGTGAGCGTGACAGAGACCATGATCGGGAGAGAGACCGTGACAGGGACCGGGATAGAGACCGCGACAGAGATCGTGACAGAGATAGGGACAGAGACCGGGATCGAGACTACCACAGAGACAGAGGAAGAGACAGAGGAAGACGCAGGGGTGATGATGACGATAGTTATGGCAACCAGCCTCCACGTCGAGGATTTCCTGGGGGAGCAGCCATTGCACCACCCCCATCTCTTATGCAGGATTCAGCACCAGGTAATCAAACCTAGAATATCAAGGGAATAAGTAAAAGTAGTATGAAATAATTATGGTATGTAGGGAAAAACCAGAGTTGTACTCTAACCCTAACCTAACCCTATACCTTGACAATTCCATTTCTGAGGCTTAAAAAAAAAGCTTAAAAGGCCTAAATTGGAAATAGAAAGTTATAAATAATTTGATTTTCTTTTATGTATTTGAGATTGTTGTTTTGTAAAGCATAAGGAAATCTTTCCCTTCTAGTATCAAAACTTTTACATATAAGAATTTATGAGGAACGACCTTCTGAAGGGAAATCATTTTGGTTGAGATTCTGTTGTCTCAAATATTTGTGTATTTTACATTTCTTACCAAATTGGGCCTTTAGAAAATATATTTTTTTGTTCTCTTAGTAGAGCAAGCTGCCCAACAGTGGCCAGTGTCCAGTGGAGCAGACTTTAATTTTGCATCTGAAAATAAACCAAAAGCTGGTGGCTTTTCTGCCAGGTGAGATCACAGTAACTAGTGGTGATGGGTTTATGCTCTAAAAATAATAGACTGCTTAATGGAATTTTTTTCCATTAATAAAATATATCACTTAAAACTGTTTACAAAATTCTCAATTGCAATTAGTTAAATACAGCTGGTTAAGGTAACATTGTTCAATCTCCCTTACAGTCCTGTTGCATCTCAGATTATGGCAAAATATGGTTGGAAAGATGGCCAAGGTAACTTTATGTTTTTTGTTTTTTGGTGTTGTTTGCTTTTGTTGTTTGCAAATTGTTTGCACCTTGGTATGAACTTTGTTGTCACTCAAAGAAGGCAATTCTTAGGTGAGATGAAAATAATAATATTTGGAAAAAGAAGTGATGGGTTTTAAACCCCTGGCACCCAAGATTTGTGAATGCTTAATAGTGAAATTGTCTTTACAATTTTAATAGACAGTCAAACGCAAGAAAGAAAAAATTTTCAGCCACAGATACTTCCTTAGATAAAACAGCTAGTTATCAAGCTAGTCTTAGTGGAAAGAATTTACTAGTAAATCTTGGGAATTAATAGTTCAATTCTTTAGGGAAGAATTAGAGGAATTTCTGTTTTAATTTATCCAAGTTTGAGAGTGATTTTGCAATAGAAAATTGATGAAGCCACCTTTTATTTATTTTCAGGTTTAGGAAAACAAGAGCAAGGTATTAACACATGTTTGCAAGTGGAGAAAACCAGCAAGCGAGGCGGAAAAATAATCAACCAAGACAAAGGTTTGTATTTGATTCATTATCATTTCTGTTAAAGAACTAAAGAGGCTGTGGCATAAAAACCAAACCCAACATAATCACAGTAGCTAATCACGACAAAGGCACGCAACTCAATGAACCAATGAGAACTCAAGGTAAATTCACGTGACGGTCTAAAGCGCGGGAAAACGCGTGTGACCAAGTCGTAGCTATTTATAACCTCACATTTAATTGGTTGAGAACTTGGAGCGAGATTTATGGACCAATCACAAACCATTGTAAAGCAAAACTAGTGCAATCCCCGATAACGTCTTTTATGCAAAGTGTACGACTCAGCCTCAGCAGCTGCGAACGGTGGACCAAAATACTTTCCTGTCCTTATACTTTCTGGTATCCCAGATATTTTTTCGCCATGTGTGCCGCTTCTACCAAAGTTCTCAGTTGTTTTGCCGCAAGTTGCTCTAAGTGCACCGTTATATCTATTAATTCTCCCAAATTTTGAAAATAGGAAGCTTTAAGGAGACTTGAAATGTTCAATGAAAGAGTAAATACCTTTTTGATCAACAGAATCAAAAGCTGCAATGCAAGAAGCAGAACCAGTTACCAGCGTTATGAGGAACCCAAGCAAAGTTGTTGTTTTGAGGGTAAGTAGCAGTGTTTTTTGGCCTTTTTATGGAAGTCTCTAAGTAATTATTTCAGTTTTTATTTAAGTGTCGAAAAATCAAAACTAAAGTTTTCCCAGCGACCCTATCAGAACAAAGGATTACATCATCAATAGCCAATGAAAACTCAAAGCGATGACAAGCAGATTTCTTGAAGCGCGGGAAAACGCGGGTGACCAAGTCGTGATTGTTCGTAGTTTTACATCTCATTAGTTGATACGAAGGCGCTGGAACAATCTCAAAGCAAATCGAAGTAAAAACAAAACAATCCTGGATGGCTTTCGACATTTAATTGTAAATTGCTTTGTTCTGTGGTTTCCTTCACTTCGAATTTTATTACGCGTGTTGCAACATTTCATTTGGATTAAAAACGTTCGTCTGGTTTTCAGAATATGGTTGGTCCGGGAGAAGTGGACGAAGAGCTACAACCTGAGGTCGTGGAGGAGTGTAACAAGTATGGTGAAGTTGCCAAAGTTGTAATATATGAGGTGGGTGTCTGATATTAATGGTTAAATTTCCTGTCAGTTTTACATGGTATTCTTACAGGCATGTAATTATAGAAAGATACTGAAAATTTGAGTCCTAACTCATCAAGATGGTCCGAGCTTAAGACCTTCCGATTTTACTATCAAGTACCCGTTCTTGTACTTCTTCGAAATAGGAAAATGATGAGATTTCACATATAATCTTTCAATTACGAATTATTATTCATTTTTTCTTGGTTTCGTCGGTGTTTCGCGAGATTCAGCAGAGAAATGTGACATTAAACAACGCTTTTTGAAACATTCCGTCGATGTTTTGCACTTTTTCTGGGGCCCTTTAACAAAACTGTAGCGTTTTGCAGAATTTATGATTCGCGCAAATGACACTCTGGGGAGCAATATGACAATTTCTAAAATTTAAGATAGTACGCGCTCTCTCATTGGTCTACAGGTGTGTACAGATGAGAGATTCATTTATGATTCATCGTTTAACATTTTCGCTTTGTTATTGGAGGCAGGTGTGAACTTGTTCTAGAAAAAATTCAATTTGTTTTCCACACCTGGACTATGAAAGGGCACTTGAAGTGGAACTGGTGCTCGTAATTTACTCTTCCTGAATTTTCTATAAACAAAGTACCAGAGAAATGCTGTAATCATTTATTCGCCCGCAACTTGCTAGATGTATTATTTAATATTCAAATATGACGTATTTTAAAGTTAAGGTTTGGTGTATTCATGTGGAGGTTTTTTCCGTCGTGATTCTGGGGCTAAGTCGGCTATAAGAGAAAAGCATGAAAAAGCATTGGTTCACTCTGAATAAATGTGTCGATGGAGAAGCTGGCATCGCCCCAATGACATAAAGTTAAGGAAATGAACACTCTTCCTCAGGGTCTGAGGGGCACGCGCATTTGAATGGTTCCGACTGAAACTGTGAAAAGGTTTCAAATGAAAATGTTGTTTTTAACTTCACTGAACACGATTTATTCAGTCGATTCTCCCGTTTTTAGGGTAACATAAGCAAAGACAGGGCATATCGAACAAAAACATGATCTTACCTGACGGAAATGTTTTGTTTATTCACGTGCAATCGTTAAATACATATTCGAATACTGGTTCAAAGTAGAAAGCGGAAAAATATTAATCAATTACTTTAAGTATGTTATTCTAAACGACAAAGACTAATGGATGTTATTTCTTCTTCCTGGTAGAGGATAAAAATTCTACATAGCTCCTATTTACATTGTAATTAAGTTTTTGAGTTTGCGAGGGCAATTATACTTTGTCAATATTCAATTATTTCCCAGTCTGCTATGATACTGAATTGTAGACGATTGTTATCTTTGAAGCCTGTTATTAAAGTGAGAGACGATGAACCTACGATCTACCGATTAGTACTTAGAGTGCTCTACCACTGAGATATAGGAGACTCAAGGCAGTATTGGCGGTTTAACTAGGTTCTACTAAACTTTTGTTTAAATATGAACGGTATTTATGAGATTCTGGTGTTTTAAAAACACGGAAGTCTTTTCGCATGAATACAGGCAACCTTGAACTACAAACAAAAGCAAAACGCCTTGGCTGTGTTTTTTACTGCCATTCTCACTTCTCTGATCTTCCAGCAGTAAAGAAAGGGATTCAGAGATGAATTTGAATAAACTAAAGTTGCCGTAAACAGCCAAAGACCATGAATTGTTTTTCCACTAAGCACTGTATGTCTCAATAATGACACAGTTAAGAAAGGGGCATAGCATGCTACTAAAGTCAACTGCAACCAGAATATACTGGAAACTACTTTCTTATATTGTACGATATTCAGTCGAACTCTTTCTTGAATTCTTCGCTTTGGTAATACTTTTGCTGCCCCTGCTCTTAAACATCTTCCATCTGTCGCTCTTCCTGTGCCTTCTACTTCTGCGCCTGCTTCTTCTTCTGTGTCTCTACCTGCCCCTGTCGTTTCTCCTACTCCTTCCTCTGTGGCTCTTCCTGCCCCTTTCTCTCCTCCACCCACTTCTTCATCTTCGTTTGACTGTCCACCCCCAAAGCTCTCTTCTACTGCAGCCTGATTCCCCTGTAGTCTCAGGTAGATCTTTACGTAGCAAAACACGGAAGTAACTAAAGAAACCAATGCGATCATTAAAACGAAAATATGTGAAATCGTTTGACTCCAGACGTGAACCAATCCACATGAAACAGCAGTTACCCAGCAAAAAAGTATAACAACTTGAGCTCGCTTCAGAGTCACAACCTGTCTGTATTTTAGCCTTAACAACAGGACAAGAAGTCTGTCCACACTGATTGCTGTCGATGTCAACACAGACACTCCACACAACACATAACTGGAGATGTAAACAACCCTGCTCAAGTGGTACAAAAGATCTAAGTCGGTGTTGGCAAGATCAATGTTAAGTATTATGTTTGCTACGAACAAAGGCTGCGAAAAAAGACCCACACAAAGGTCGGTAGTTGCCAGACACGCAAACAGGAGCTTTGTCACAGGATGCAGAGAGGAAACTTTATAAATTGTCAACAGGATCAGAACATTACCCAGAAATGCGGTGAAGGAGAGGATAATGTTGAAAGTGAGGAGAGATGTTAGGACACCAATTGGTAATTGTAATGATATGCCTGTAATGTCGGCCATCGGTGTTTACGTTCAGACGTCTGGCTCTGTCTTTCCTTCTTTTTTCAGCAAATGAACCTTTTACGGACGATAATTATTTGGTATAGGCGTCCTGTCGCAGTGTTGCCCAATCAGCAGTTGCTATTGGATAAAAATGCTCCACCCCGATGTTTCACTTGACAAATATTGCAGCGTCAATCAGATCTGTTTTTAACTCTTCCGCTTTTTAACTATATTTTTCGCGATTTATTAATATTCAATGAGCAGTGTAGCCTTAGGGTGCTTAGTAAATTTGTAAAAGCTATCATCGTTCAGGTGTGTTGTCGACATAAACATATTAGTATAGGTAAATAAATAGGCACGAGTAAATTTTGTTAAAGACTAACAAAATTGAACGAGCCCGTAGGGCGAGTGTAATTTGTGGTCTTTGAAAAAATTAGCAAGTGTTAATAATATACACGGAAAAATACAAGATGGTTTGTCCTAATTATGAATAAGCAAAGTGCGCTTATCAAGTGCAAAAATAATTTATTCAAACCGTGAGTTCGGTCAAAACCACCGCGTACGATCAAAACAATAGTATGCAATGATATCTTCACATCTTTAAGGTACAAAAAAGTTCAAAGTCTGGCTTAACAGTTCAAGGAACTGTTCAGTCTGTGTCCGAATCACTTTCGATGAAATGGAATCGTCGTTTCCGAGGTTTAACCATGTTTGTTTTTAATTTCTGCGTTGGATCGCTCGAGCAAAGTGTTAGGCAGGGTCGGCTCGTAATTTCGATTTCCTTGGCAATTCCCTTCTCTAAACACCACGTTTTCCAAACCGACAACCGAAAAGCAGTGCTTTTTACAGTTTTTTCGTTGTTTGAGCTGTTTTTCAGCTGCGGTGGCGAAAGAAAACCTACTTAAAACGCCGGCCATTGTTTCGCTCACAAATTTTCAAATGTTCAAATTTTGTTGCGACATCTAAGGCTGGCATTTGATTGGCTATCTGTGAGTTTCTTTGATTATTGACCAATCAGAATATCTACTTTCTTTGCACTGAATTAACCCATTGAATTAACTCTCCTGCACTAAATTACCTGAAAACTGCATTTATCTTAACCAATCAGAACTGAGTAACTTTTCCATGTATATTATTAAGTCGGAAAGCCGTTAGTTAAGCAGAAAAAACAAACAAACAAAAACAAAACAAAACAAAAAATACGAAAATTGTCATATTTGCACTACCTGTCGGAAGTATGTTTATCGTTTATTTTTTAAGGAACCAGTCATTTTTCATCGCCTTGGGGGTGGGGTGGAGGATTTTTGGGAGAATATATGGCTCGAGGGGGAACGGAGGGGGGATCATTTGTCACCAAAAGAGTATTAAGGGGGACTATAGAATATTGACTGCCGATGAGGAGGGAGGGGGGGTCACGAGAATATTAGAGAGCCTTATTGGGGAATCAGGTAAATTTTATCATGACATAGCTCAAATCCTCCAAACCCCCCCCCCCTCCTGCTCCTAGGCGATAAAAAAACGGTTTAGGTGTCCTCTCTACATTTTCAACTTGCATTTTTTTTCTGTCAGTTTCCCCAAGGAGTTCAGCCTGACGAGGAATCAGTTCGCATTTTTGTGGAATTTCAGCGGGTTGAGTCTGCGATAAAAGGTATTTTAACACAGTTTTTTCTTGAGCATCAAAATAAACCTAGTATTTCATCGGTTTGCTTCATCACTGATTTGTTTCGAAAACTGCACCATCTTCTCAACCAATTAGACGCAAAGCTGAAACCAATCGCGACTTGGTTATCCGTGTTTTTCCGCGCTAGAGATCATTTGTGTGTACTACTTGGAGTTTTCGTGGGTTCCCATGCGACAGTTTCTTATGTTTTCAACGGTTGTTCATGGTTCGTGGTGACGTCAAGCTTTGTTGTGATTGGCTGTGGTGTTTTCCTTTTGTTTTGCGACACTCCACCGAAAGCGTCTTAAAGCTAAAAAACGCCTGGGCCCTGATGTATAAAGGGCGGATAACACTATCCAACGGATAAACCGCTATCCAGTGGATAAGGGATTGCAAAACGTTTCGCGCTATCCACCGCATAGAGATTTATCCAGTAGATAGTGTTATCCGACCTTCGAACAACCGGGGCCTGATCTTTAGATGACTCATACAACCAACAATTTCCCTCTTGACTTGATTGATTAATTTTCCTCTCCAACTTTCTTTACAGCTCTCGTGGATCTCAATGGAAGATTTTTTGGGGGTCGAACTGTCAGAGGGGCATTCTTCAACTTGGACAAGTTCAGAAGACTCGATCTAATGGCCGATCTCTAATTCGGACAAAAGGCCGTATGATAATTTATGGAACTTGTTTATTAGTCGACATGATTTCGAACTAGAAATGAAGTGCCATAAGAGAATCAGATACGATTTCGTGGAGGAGTTCAAATTCCATGTCTAGCGCATTGGCCAAAGTAGAAAACTTAACATGTCTATATTTGGAATTGCAGAGGAGTCTTGTTACCGACCCTCGTTTTTTCCCTCGGTTCATAGTACAAAGCATGCGCACGAAAATCGATAAACGCAACAATTTCCTTTCCTTGGCCAACAGTTTTTGTTGAGAATTTTTGTGCAGTTTATCGATGGAAGCGGGTGAATCTTTCACCGCCTGATGCTGCTTTCCGAACGGGCCCAAAATAATTGGAGAACGAAGTCAAGAACTTTGATTTAACTCTCGCTTTTAACCCTTTACACCCTAACATCAGCATGCAAACTCTCCATACTATGCTCTGTACATTTCCTACGGTGCTGACAAGGAGAATTTGTTTAACAATCAAGCGCTTCCTTAGTTAATGATCATTTCCTTTATTCTCGATATGGTGAGGAGAAATTAGGTGTTAATCACTCCAGGAAAGAATAACAGTTGACAGACCTACACCCATGTAATTAAAAGCGCGTTTTCCTTGTTTGTTGTGTCAATGCAATGCTGCTGTAAAAATTACTTAGAATGTATTTGCATTTATAAATGCAACTTGCCAAGAAGAACACCTTAGTATTCGTTTGGGATTTTTCCTTCTCTCTCACAGTTCCCGTAGCCTCCCCGCGAGGCACCCAAAAATGCAGAGTGCTGTGGTGGTTGAGGGTGAGTGTACACTCATTTCAAGCCCTTCTTATGAGGTTTCGATTAAAGCATACTAAGTCGAAAAAAATACCGCAAGGGCACGTTTCTCGAAGATCCCGATAACTGAAAGGACCCCTGAGGCTGTTTTTTTTTCATTCAAGAGGGAGGGGGGGAGGGAAGAAGTCCGAAAGTTTTACTAGTTACACCTTGGAACCCCCAGAAGTGACTAAAATGTAACTTCTCCCTGTAATATTCATGTATTATTTAGCAAACAGGTTATGAGAAAACTCAAACTTTTTTCGGGGAGCATTTATTGTGGTCGCACACCAAATTCTCTTAATCAATTTGCAGAGAGCTGTATAGCAGCTAGAACAGGGAATTAAAAATCAGACATAGGGTTAACCTCGGTCACAACATGGGCAGCCTTTTCCATTTCTACTTTTGAAAATACTGAAAAAAATTCGGTTATGAACAGACTTGTATGACTTATCCTTCAACAACATGGAACGTGCTAAGCATGTACCCTTAGCACTGAGGTCACATCCTGTCATGACAATCCTAACTTTAAAATTTCCATCCCAAAAAATAAGGCTTGCTTAAGCCATGCACTTTAAGTAAGGGGCTGGTAATTTCACGAGAAAAGCAGTTCTGACAATTTTGGTAAAAACAGGAAAAGAA